TTGGACTCCATTGGAATCACCGAATTCCCATACATCAGAGTCCACCAGAGTTCTGTGCTCACAGAGCAGCAAGAACATGTTAAGTAAATGAGGTGGTATATTATATGTGTCTTCTGTGCTCCTACCACACATACAGCCAGCCATCAGACTTCACTCACAAAGCTCAGGTTCAAAGATAAAATGATTTTCCAGCCAGATATGGTGGGACATACCTGCAGCCCCAGCAACTTGGGAAGTTGAGGCAGGAGCATGGCAAGTTCAAGGGCAGCCTCAGCAACTTAGTGATGCCCTAAGCAATACTTATACAAGGGTTGTTGTGAAGATTTAATGAGGCTTCTTTGCATGTGGTTCTGGGAGTGAACCCAGGGCCTCATACATGCTAAGTGCCACTCTACCACTGAGCTACAAGATGAGGTTATTTTTGAAAAGTGTTCTGCATGGGGCCTGGCACATGTTGAGAGTTGATCTCACTGTCTCTGATCACAGATTAGTTTCCCCACCTGGCTTGGGGACTCCTGCCCTAGGGAGGTCATAGGTCTAAGCCCCTAGGCAGAGGGAGGACTGCCCCAGACAAGCCTGAGGCAGATCAGGAGCTGGGCTAGGTGCCAGCCACAGACAAGGCCTGTCCAGAGCAGGGACCTCTGGGAAACCTTCCTTTCTTGGGCCCAGGTTCTCCATCTCCCTCTCTTGTCTATTCCCCAATCTCCACAGCACATTGCCCCCCAGTTCCCATAATAACAATGCCAGAAGCTACCTGTGGAGTCTGTAACTACTTCCAGATACCGTGCTTTCCAAACATCCATTGGTTAGTTCCCAACAGGTATTTCAGCCCAATTCTTTCTTTTTCAAAGAGCAGAAGCCCAAATATATTCCCTAAAAGGAATTTTTTGACTCATATAACTGAAAAGACAGAGGACAGATGATGTCAGGGCTCATAACTGATATCCAAGGGCTCATAACGTAATCAGAAACCTGCCTCTCTCTGTTTCTGTTTCCTTCTTAGTGGATTTATTGACATTCAAATTCTACCCTTATGGTGACAAGATGGCTGCCAACCACTGTAGCAGCCAGCTTAGTTATCACCTTACTTATAGAATAAGAATATTTCCCCCAGTAGTCTAAGAAAAATCTAGGTTGACATTCTAATTGGTTGGCTTTTGGTCTTGCACTCCTCCTAAACCAATCTCTGTGGCCAGGGAATTGGAGACCTCTCATTGGCTAGGAAAGAGTCATACACCCACCTCTAGATCTAGGAAATGGGATCAGGTCTATGGAAATCAAAGGGAATGGAGCGGGGAAAGGAAGATTCCCAAAATGAAAATCAAGAAAGAAGGATAGACACTGGCTGTGGGAACAATTTCTTGAACCCTGGGAGTGAGCTGTTATTATATCCATGTCTGGCTTGAGACTGTTTACCTGTTTACCAACCCTTTTTCATCATCTTTCTGGGCACAGCTGAACTACATTTCCCAGCTTCCTTTGCAGTTAGGGAAGGTCATATGACTAAATTCTAGCCAATATAGTGTGAGTGGAAATAATGTCATCACCTCCAGGACTGGCCCATAAAAACCTGATTATCATCGACATCCTCTTTCTTCCTCTCCTGGCTTGCTGCATTGTGGTGACCTTGCAATCAAATTGAAGATGGCAGAGCCACAAAAGGGAAGGGGCCTGGGTCTCCATATCACTACCCCACTAAGTTGACAATGGGCTTCCGATTTTACATCACTGAGAAATAAACTGGGATGCCTTTGTACATTTTTGGAGTGACTTTGTTATGACAGTTAAGTTAACCTAACTAATAATTGCAGATGAGCAAAGTGAGGCTCCGAAGGGTGACGTGCCTTGCCCTGGGCCACACAGCCTAGCAGAGGTTTAAAGCTGGATCCATTTTTAGACACAGCCCTTTAGCTACAATAACCGAGTAAACAAATCCCCAAGAAACTGCTCAAAAACAGGCCATTCTCTGGGAAGGGCACAACAGTATGCTCCATGAAATCTGGGGAACCACAGGGAGAAGTTCAGTAAAGCCTTTGAGGAAACTGGGTGCCACAAGGCAGCGTCTCTCCCCATCCCTCTCTCTCCCCCACTGGAAGTTTTGTCTCAACTCCCTGTTCCTTGTGCACTTGACTTTCCTTTGCTCTCCTTCTGTCCCACTTGATATGATATTGAGCTGACCCTCTAACTCTGGTCCAAACACCAGTGCCCTCCAGAAACAATCTCTGGCCCAAAGCTTAGGATATCAGCAAGGAGTCAGCTTGGGCCAGCAAACCTTCTCGTGGCTGACCTACTCTGGGTCAGGGCCTCCACTGTCTATTTGGCAGGGGTCAGAAATTACATGAGCAGCTCAGGCTGACTCCCAAGAGGCCTTCTTTAGCCCCCAAACACAGAACTATGTTTGTTTGTTTGTTTGTACCAGGGATTGAACCCAAGGGCCCTTAACCACTGAGCCACAACACTTTTAATTTTTTGAGTTTGAGACAGTCTTGTTAAAGTTGCTTAGGGCCTCACTAAGTTGATGAGGCTGGCCTCCAATTTGCAATCCTCCTGCTTCAGCCTCCCTAGCCACTAGGATTATAGGCATGCACCACTGCACCCAGATGAGGCTGTTCTTTTTGTGTTTTTTGTTTTGTTTGGGATGCTGGGAATTAAAACCAGGGGTGCTCTACCACTGAGCTACATCTCCAGCCCTTTTTTAAAAACTTTATTTTGAGGCATGGTCTTGCTAACTTTTGAGGCTAGCCTCAAAATTTCAACTATCCTAGCTAAGCCTCCTAAGTAGCTGGGATTACAGGTGTGCACCATCATGCCTGGCAACTCAGGCTGCTTTTGATTACCTGTAACACCCTCTTCACTAAGTATTCAAATTCTTCTGGGGAAGACCTACCTTTCCTCTGTCTTGGCACATAAAGCAGACAGTCATGGCTGCTCCAGAGAATGATACATTCTGCCTCTGTCTGTCCTGTGGGGTAGTTGGGAAGAACTTAGATGGTGTCAGGCCTGAAGCTCTGGGCCCATAGCATCTGGGAAGTGGGGAAGACAGACCTGTCCTTTGGACAGTCTTCCTGTGACCATATTGTTCTTGTCACTAGCTCTTTGTCTAGGTGCGGACAGAGGGCATAATTGGGGACACACAAGCAACTGGGCAGGTAGTTGGAGTATAAAATGACTGTGATTTGGTGGAGCTTGGAGGGAGCAGAGCAGGCAGGCATGCTGACAGGTGTGTCAGCCTTCCAGGTGGGGGCCACACTTGCCAGCAACTGTTTGCCTGTCCAGGGGTGGTTTGGAGGTAGGGTGGGGTGGGCTGAAGAAAAGGAAATGGGCCAGCCTGCCAGAGCAAACAATCAGGTCTTCTGGCCCTACCTTCTAGCAAATGCCAACTCACAGCAGAGGGTGGGGTGGAAAGGGAGAGGCTTAGGGTTAAGATCCCAGGGCTGGCAAAGGGGCTCTCAGACCCCAGGATATACGTGTTTGGAGGGGTAGGAGTATTCCAGCTGCTTGAATGCCTAGGACTCTACATTGTCTGAGACAGAAGTGTGTAGTGGGGAGCTATCTGGCATTGTCTTCAGCCTCATCCTGCCTGACATTATTCCTAGCAACTTACGGATGCAATGGGACTTTGTAGACTGTAGGGGGTGGGAGGAGGGAAAGGGACCAGTGGAGATATCCGGAGATATTGGCTTGTGATCTAAAACGTCCGGGCTGAAAGGATTCATAGCCAGACAACAAGCCTCAATCTATCTCCACAGCAGCAGACTGATGTGATGTGGACGGATGAGGGAGTCTGGGTGACCCTTGAAAAGTGGCAAAGTGGACCAGCCAGTCCTGACCACAAGTGTGTAGAAAGGGAGAGACATTGGAGGAGAAGCCAGTCCTATTTCCTGAGCAAAAGCTAGAAACCGGGTGCACAAGGTCAGACATAGCTAGAACTTGAGGCTTGCAGGTGGGGGCATCAGGAGGTGGGTACAGTTGCTATTATCCAGGAAGGCCACTCCTGGAATCAATGATCCTGTGCAGCCTTGGTGATCCCAGAGGCTGCAGCTCTGGACAGTGGAGGCCTGCTTGGTGGATTGGGGTGGGGTAAGACTGGATGAGTCTCTCAGGCTGGAGGGGTAAAGATCAGATTGCTCTCTTTGCTCCCCTTTTGGGTTGGGTGGGTGGTTTCTGTCTTCCCGCATCTTCTTCTTCTGATCTGCACTCCTTCTCCTCGCACTGGGGGTGAGCACTGGAATGGGGGACCCTCTGTGCCCCTACCTCCCTTGATCAGGGTTACTTTCCTCAAGGACCCTGGGTAGAGACCTTGGTCCCACCCCTCAGGTGTTTCTAGGAGCACACACACACACCCATCACCCCAGCAGCTACGTTTCCTGCAGGGGCAGAGGGGTGTGCTTGCGTCCCAGGTAACAAGTCTGGTTTTCTCTACCTTCTCCTCCACTGATTCATTGTTAGTCTTTCTGGTTGTATGATGAATAACCCGCTCATCGCTGCACATTAGGAGAATAATGAAAGCGCAAACATCCTAAGAGGAAACCATCAGGTGGTTTCCTCTGGAGGAGCCCTGGCTTATTCAAGGCTTTTGGGTTCCCTCCAGATTCAGGGTCACACTGTGCTGAATTGGAGTTGGGAAGTAGGACGCCCCTCTATGGACAGCTCCATTTTGCAACACATCCCCCCTCCACCCCAGGAGAACAGGAAAGGAGGTGAATGTGGCAGCTCCTAGATCAGCACTGAGCATTCCCCCAGCTCTGCAGGGACAGGGATGGAGCCCCCACCGCCACACCACTCCCAGGCCACGCGCCCTCAGCTGCCTCTGGCTCGGCTCGGGCTCGCCCCGCCAGAGGCCTCAGTGCCCACTTCTGTAGAATGGACAGGCGGCGGGGCTGGGCGCCCCGGGGCGCGGCAGGCGGGGCCCCGAGGCTCGGAGGGGGCCGGAAGGGGTGTGAGTGCGGGGGCGGGTCCCGCGCCGCCCCGCCCCGGGGAGGGAGCCCGGGGCGCAGCATCCTGGCGCGGGCTTTGGCCGCTGCCGCCACTGCCGTCGGGGAAGGTCCCAGCGCGGACATGGCCTCGCGCGGCGCCCGCCCGGGCTCAAGCCCCCAGCGACCGGTGCAGTAGCTCAGCGAAGAGGCGGCCTGGAGGGCGCAGACGGCCGGGCCGGCGGCATGGAGGAGGCGCACCTGCTCCCGGCCGCCGACGTGCTGCGCCACTTCTCGGTGACAGCCGAGGGCGGCCTGAGCCCGGCGCAGGTGACCGGCGCGCGGGAGCGCTATGGCCCCAATGGTGAGCGCGCGGGCCGGGCCGGGGAGCGGGGGCCGCGCGCGCCTCAGTCTCAGACCCCCTGCCCCGCGGCCAGGCGGTGCTCTCCCTCCAAGATCTAGGTCCCCGCGGGCGGGCAGGAAGTGAGGGCTCCGGAAACCTCTGCAGATGCTCTTGGGGCACCCGGCTGGGCTGCGCGGCCACCTTCGAGGGGGTGGGGGCGGGTTCCGGCTTGGGGGACCGACGCCTGCGACCCCCTCCGCCCTGGGTCCTTCCAGGCTTCTTGCTGCGGTGCGGTCCCATCCATTTCTGCAAGCCTTAGCCAGCCTCATTCGCAGTCCAAGCTGGAACCCCGCGCCGCGCTGCGACCCGCGGGTATCATGCAGGTGCAGCAGACACTGAGACCTGCTGGCCGGGAACCGGCCGAGCACTCTGAAGTCCAGCCTCCTAGCCGATCCAGGGGTCTCCCCTCAGGGCGCAATAAAACCCTCAAGTAGGTGCAGCTTGTAGGCTAGCGGCCGTGGTGCCCCCACCCCCACCTCCACCCCCAGGTCTTCCTCTTTCTGCAACCCCAAGCGGATGTAGCTGGCAGGAGTCGTTGGGGGCTTTGAACTGCTGGGGCCAGAGACCCATCTTCCTGGGCTGGCCGACTGGAGGTCCCAGAGAGTTGCCAGAGGCTGGGTGACCTGGAGTGGTGCCTGCCCATCTTGGGCACCAAGGGAGCCTTCCTGCTTTTGTAGTTTGCGTGGGAGAGAAATGGGTTCTTCCTCATCCCCTTCAAAGAAGTGGGGGATTCTTCTTTTTTTTGCTAAGGCAATGGGCAAACGCCTCCTGGTACTATCCAAATGAGGCCCAGCACATTTGGAGGCTCCTGAGGATGGAAGTCTCTTGACTGCGTCCCTTCCAGGCAGGATCTGCTACCCTCACAGCACCTGGTAGAGTGTGAGGGGACCAGAAAGAAAAGTTGCTTCCATCCCCAACGTATTGCCTGAGCCTGTGTAGTTTTGGGATTTGGGGTCTCATCCTTTGGGGTTCCCAGTCAGTTGGAGGGGAGGGTGCTCTGGCCTGTGTCCCTGTGCTCAGGGCTGGCTTGGAAATTACACATTGCTGTCAGAAAGGTTGCTTCGGTTCTGTATTGGTTTATGAAAACCACCTCTTATATAAATATTATCTTTCTGGAGCAGAAATCCTTTTTCAAAAAAAATAGTTGCTATATTTAGTTGAGCTGTGGGAGGAACTGGGGAGATAAATATTATTTAATATCCCCCATTAATGACTTGGCAGGGAGGGTGTCCTTCGCTGCAGGAGAACAGGGTAGCAGGAACTGCCCCCTGGCTCTGGGGTAGGGTGGGAATCCCTGTAGGCAGGTCTGGGCTCACACAGCCTTTTTGGTATCGCTGTGGTCCAGCTTGGGAATCTTGATTCCCAAGGGAAGCTGGAGATCCAGCCCTCCCTTCCATTTCCAGAATCTCACACATTCTGCCCTTGCATGACCCTGGCCAAGGTTCCTGTCCTTTCTAGCTCTCTTGTCTTCAGGGGTCCAACAGAGGAGGAACTGACAGTGTAGTTCCTAGTCTCCTGCCCCTGTGTAGTTTTGTCTGGGTGAGGGGATCCTGGAGTGCTCTGGCCCCTCACCATCTGTGTGAGGTGATGGGCGTGGTGTATAGATCCACAGGTAGGCGGGTGTGTGTTGATGTGGTAGGAAAATGGGGACATTGCTAGGTTCCCCTGGTTCCTCTGTACTTTGCTAGTATTAGTAATAAAAGCTGATGCTCACTGAGCACTTACTATGTGCTAGGCACTGTTCTCAGCACTTTTTCATCTATCATTTCATTTCTTTCTCCAAACAACTCAGATGTTGGGGCTATTGTCATCTTTATTTTAGAAAGGAGGTAACTGAGGCACCAGAAGTTTAAACAACTTGGCAAGATCACATAGGATTGTAGTGGACTTAGCACAGATGCCTACTCCTCTCTGGGCCTCAGTTTACCTATGTGTAAAAAGATCACAGGTTCTGTAGGCTCGGGGACCCTGGTGTGGCAGCATCTATACCAGTTTTGTCCTCAGACCCTAAGAGGCCTCAGAGGGCTCTTCCCTCACATCTCTGGTGCTTCTTCCTCAGGAACCATTCCAGGCCTCTGGAAGTGAGCAGAGGGAAGCCAGCTGCCCCTTACTGCCCTGTGCTCCACGGCCTGTGGATGAGGCTTGTATGTCCTCTAGGTGCTACCTGCACAGCTTTTGGGAAGGGGCTGATGGGGTTCTGCACCCTGGCTCTGCCCCTTCATAGCTGTGTGACCCCAGACAAGCCCCTGGGCCTTTCTATGCCTTGGTTTCCTCATTGTCAATGAGGCCGCAATAAAACCATCTCTTAGAGTTGTTTATGCGTGTTTAGTGAGATCACTTATACCAAGTCATCTGCCTCTGTAGCGGAGGAGGTTGGGCTGGGCTCCTGGCCAGGAGGTGGTTGGTAGGGTACAGGGCCTGTGGGTGGAGGGAACACCCCAGGGACTAGTGTTCCTCCCACCCCAGGCGTCTGTGCACCTGCAAGGTCGTTAGCACTGGAAACCACAAGGAAGTCATTTGTTTAAGTCTTAAAGTTTGCAAATTCTGCCAGGGGCTGGGGGAATGGAGCCTGGGGATCCCACCCTCTTACCTCTCCTTCTCCTCCTTCCTGAGGACAGAAGCCTCAGAACAGGGGGTGGGAGCCTCAGAGAGACAGTGTGTGTGCCAGCCGGGAGTCCCCTGTGCATACAAAACACCATCTGTCCCAACCTCACGGGAGCTGGTGAGGCCCCAGCAGGGTTTATCTTTTTTGTAATACTGGAATTGAATCCAGATGTGCTCTACCTCTGAGCTACATCCCTAGCCCTCTTTAATTTATTTATTTATTTGTTTTTTAAATTTTGAGACAGGGTCTAATTGAGTTGCTAAGGCTGGCCTTGAGTTTGTGATCCTCCTGTCTCAGCCTCCCAAGTAGCTGGGATTACGAGCCTAATACATACCCGACATAAATTTTTTTTTAATTAAAATTTGCGTACAGTGGGCTGGGGATATAGCTTAGTTGGTAGAGTGCTTGCCTTGCATGCACAAAGCCCTGGGTTCAATCCCCAGCACCACACACACACACAAAAAGAAAAATTGCATACAATATAATCTTCAAAGGGTACAAAAGGTGCACAGTAAAGACATCTGACTCTGTCCCTAACCACCTATCCCAGTGTTCCCAATTCCTGTGTCTCCTTCCCAAAATATTCTGTGCATATATGCATGCACATCTAGGATCTTTTTAAAAATTTCCTGGCTGTGCTGGGGATTGGACCCAGGGCCTGGCATGTGCTAGGTGAGCCCCTTACTAAGTACACTAAGTACACCCCATCCCTGGGATTTTTTTTTTTTTTTTTGCATGAAAGGGAGTGAGTTCTATGTGCCGTTTCTACCCTGCTTTCCACTTGACCAGCACTCTTGGAGGTGGTTCATAAGGGAGCTTTCCTGGGTTCCCAGTGGCTGCGCTGGGTTCTGTTGTGGGCCTGTTCCAGTGTTTCTTCATCCCACTTCTGAGAGCCGCTTGCGGTGGTCACAGCCTCTGCTATTACATGCAAAAGATAAAGAATATCCTTGTCCCTCTATCACTTGTGAATAGCCCTGAAGGATAAATTCCTAGAAGTGGAACTGCTGTGTGCGGAGTGTGTTTGCAGTCTGACAGCTGTTGCTACTTTACTGTCCCGAAGGTTGAACCAACCAACCTGCCCATCTGCCACCTGGCCAAAGTGTATAAGACACTTGTGTAAGTGTGTAACTTGATCTGTGCCAGTCATAGAAAAGTCCTTGTGGGTTCTGTACTTGGCATTTTTCTATTTACAAGTCAGGCTGGGTATCTTTTTGTACCTTCAGGAGTCATCCAATTTCCTTATATCTGCGCTCACATCCTTTGCTAGACTGGGGCCAAGGTCAAAGACTGGACTGGGTTGGGCACATCTGCCACACAACCTTGCTCCTAAAGGCCCTGGAGAGCCCAGGGATCTGAGGGTCAGATTAGATCCCAAGAGGTCTCTGGGGGTGGCCCCTGTTCAGGGGAACTTATGGAGAGAGAGCGTCTGGCCTGGACCTGCCTCCCTAGTCTGCACACTGCCTGTCTGTGCAAAGGGTACAAGGTCCCCAGGGCTGCCGCAGGGTGGGAGCGGTGGCCCAGATTTGGAATCCTTCCAGTGGTGTTTTGGCTATGGCCTTATTTCCTGCCATTATCCCAGGCCTCAGTTGGAAACCCATATGCATGACCCCTGGAAACCAGGCCACCAGGAGTGGGTTAAGTGGAACAAGAAGGTGACTGCAGTGGCCTTACTTGCTGAGTGGCCCCAGGCAGACTTGCCCTTCCTTTGGTCTTGAGATCCCCTAAGGGCTTTGAAGGATCTAACACTGACTCCCAGTGGGAGAAAGTGTGATTCGGCCGCAGGCCAACTGGAAACTCAAGGATTTTCAGGCTTCACCCTAGTTTTCACACCTACTGGCCCTTGCTGGGCAGCCTTCATCCCCCATGAGCAATATCAGGCCTTGCCCCACACTGCCACAAGACACATAGGTGTTGAACAAACCCTTAGCATCTAGCGCCAGGTCAGCCAAGTAGGCCGGCCGAGAGCCTTTCTGCAGAGCAGGAGCCACTTTCTAAGGCCCCTCAGTGTCCTCTGAGGAGCAGGGCCAGTTTGTCCACTCTAGGTGGACCCTGGAGACAAGGTCAGGGCCAGGTGGGCTGGGCGGGCTCTGACCAGCCAAGGCCTCTCCCTACCTCTGCAAGTGATGATTTGATTGCTTTGTAAATTTACCTTGGAGGAAGCCTTGGGTGAGTGCTCTTCTCTCCCCGCTGCCACTGACATTTAGAAGCTGAAATTCCAGTTTCCAGTGTTGTGAGAAGGAAGGAGTTGGGGGATTAGGGAGCAGGTGGTGTGTGGAGCCTGGGGGCAGCCCTGGCTGTACAGCTTCTCCCTGGCTGTACAGCTTCTCCCTGGCTGCAGGCTGTGGGCCCAGGCCCTGTTCTGAACCATGGAACAACTGAATAAACAAAGGCTGGGAGGACTTGGTGTAGACCAGGAAGACTCAGCCTCTCCCTGCCCTGGAGGTGCTCCAGTCTGGAGTGAATACTGATGACTAGGCCAGGAAGGCAGGGCCATCAGGTGGGCGAGGAAGGCTTCGTGGAAGGGTTCAGATGAGATAGGGAAAGGTTTTCTGGACAGAAGGTAAGATGCAAGCAAAATATTGGTGGAGGAAAACAGGGAGGTGGTAGCAATCCTGAGGCTTGATGGGTGTCAGAGAGTTCTGCATCTGAAATGTGGACGTAATTCTAGAAGGGCAGGTTGGGGGTAGCTCCAAAGTCTGAAAGACCATTCAAAGGTCAATTATTATTATTATGCAGGCTTCGGACAGCCACTGAAGGTCTATGACAGGGCAGAGGCTGGGTCACTCATTCTTCAGTTTGTTCTGAGTAACTACTATGTGACAGGCACCGTTCTGCTACACTAAACACAGTGCCACTATCATGGAGCTTATGGTCTAATAACTGTTGTGCCAATGACTGTCACTGTGGGCTATGCATCCTGGGCACTTTGTGCATGTCATGCAAGCTTCACATAACCTTATAAGGTATCACTGCTACTAGCTGCTGTGTGCTGACGGGAAAAGGGACACAGGAGCTTTCATGGCCTGCCTGTTGCTATGACAGTACCAAGAGACAGAGCAGGACTTGAACTCAAGCCCTCTGGACCATATTCTTTGCTTTAAACCCTGGAGTTTCTCGGATCACTGCCCCACTAGCCCGCCCTAAGTCCACAGTCTCATTCTCAGGCTCCTTGGCCCCACAGGGGCATCAGCGGACACCAGATCTCTCAGTCTGGCAGCAGTGATCCAGAGCAGGGGTAGGTTGGGAGAGGCCCAGATGAGAATAGTAGGGGTCGTGTGCCCCTGCATCGGCCAGATGGGGATGCAGGAGGAGCAGTACCCCCTTACTGCTTTGCCTTGAGCTGCCCAGCCAATAGCACAGAGGTGAGCAGGGTAGGGCAATCCCCCACTTAGCAAATGCAGCATCTGGCTCAATGGGAACTGGCTCAGCCCTACACCATGCAACTGCGGGTGACATGGGGGACCCAGCATCTTCCTGGGATGCCTGTGGTGGAGGCATGGGGCTCTCCCAGCCATGGTTTCCTTCTGTGGCTCTGGGACTTGTTCACGTGAGGGGAAAATTGTATCTTTGGATCTTTGGTGGAACTGACACTTGAAGCAGACTGGGCCTGGGCTGGCAGGGCCTCATGGCCCCCATACACCTCCTGTGAGAAGAGCAGATCCATTTGGACAATGATTTTGGTTGGTGGCTCTGGGGCTGCTACAGAGGGATGGGCTGGTGATGGGATGACGGCATCCAGTCCAACTATCAGGAGACTATTAGGATATCAAATTTTGTTAGGTGATGGCTGGGTGGTAAAGGGATCAGAGGAGGGAAGGCAGGGCAGCCTAGGTGTTAGCACAGGAGGCCCAGAGCAGAGGGTCAAGAGCTAGACTGCCTGGGCTCACTACCTCTCTCTACGCTTCCTGGCCGCATAACAGTTAAGTAGTCACTCAGCCTCTCTGGGCTTTGGTTTTCTACTCTGTAAAATGGGAACAACAACAGCATCCTCCTTCTCAGGTTGCTTGAGAATCATAAGGGAATAACATGCCCAAGGGGTTAACACAGTTTCAAGACCCACTGCTCCTGGGTTGCCTGCTGAACACCTCTTGGCTTGGCCCCCAGTTATTGTCCCATGTATCCTCTGGACGTGAGGTAGGTAAGACCTGACACACTGCTTGGTGAGTGGTAGGAGCTCAGTGAATGTAGCTCCTGATGGTGATGATGATGGTTGTCACAGCAACCCTTCAAGGTAGGTGTGGGTACCCATCCTCCCAGTAGGGTGCAGGGCCCCACAGGGAGTCAGCTGCTTCTGCAGGACTGGAACCACTCATGCCACGTGCAGGGATGGGCAGGCTGGCTGAGCCTCCCCAGGTGAGGGTGGAAGGGGAGCCTGGTGGTAAAAGCCAGGTCTGAGCCAAGGTAGGTTATTGCAGTAACAACCCCAAGATCTCAATGGCTGGCTGGGCTCCATGGTGAGCACCTACAGTCTAAGCTACTCTGGGAGGCTGAGGCAGGAGGCTCTCTTGAACCCAGGAGTTTGAGACGAGTCTAGACAGCATAGCAAGATCCCATCTCTCGTCTTTTTTTTTTCCCCAAAGTCACAATCCTCTTGCCTCAGCCTCCAAAGTAGTTGGACTTATAGGCATGCACTACCACACCCCAGCAAGATCTCATCTCTTAAAATATCAAAAAGCCCCTCAATGGTTCATTTCTCACTCTTGCTGATTGCCAGTGGCAGGTTGGTCATCTGAAACTCTGCTTCCTGGCTCTGTGATGAAGAAGACTGAGCAGACACCCCTACACAGGTTGTTGCTGCTGTAGCAGAGGGTCACAGAGCTCCAGACCTGCACTGTCCAGTGCAGCAGCCACCAGCCTTATGTGGCTACTTAAATGAACAAAGCAAAATTTAAAGCATAGTTCCTCAGTTAACACCAGCCACAGTTCAGTTACTCAGTAGCTACATGTGGCTGGTAGCTACTGTACTGGACAGGACAGGCAGAGAGAATTTTTGTCATCACAGAACATTCTACTGGATGGTGACCTTCTAGAAAGTCTTGCACCCAAAATCCAATGCTCCAGCCTGGAACTAAAACACACTCTTATTTTGCGAACTCACATAGGAGCCGAGAGGTACAAACTCACTATGTGGCTGCAAGGTGGGAAGAACCAGAAATATTTGGGGAACACCATGATGATCTCCAAAGAGTGGATCCTGGGTCATTGTGGGTCAGGGAGCAGGAGAGAAGATTCAGGTGGACAGGTAGAGATCACTTGGGGCAAGCAGAGGCGTCTCGGAGGGACTAGAGTTGGTATATGTGACTGTGACATACATCCTAACCTCAGGTCTTGCCCTACCCAGGGTAGATGCACTAAAGAGCATGGCAGCCTGGGAGCTTCATACCTCATAAGGAGGAGTTAGGGAAACAGTAGGAGGGATTCAAGTGAGACTGTCAGATGGACTCTCCCCTTGGTCAAAATCCCTAAAAAAGGTGAGGTTTTGGGAGTCTCCTCAGTAGAGCATGTCAAAAACCTGGCTGATGCGTGCCAAGAGGTTGGCAGTCTTCTGTTGTGAGACTGGGGCATGGCTGAGATGACCTCTAAAGAACCCTACTGCGTCGGAGAATTGGCCCAGAAACCAAGCTGGCCCTCCTCCCGCCTTTCCTGTTCGCTTCAGTTAAATAGATCAGAAGGAAAATGTCTGTTTGATTTTAATCTCAACGCAGGACACTGGAGATTACATTTTCCACGGAAAATGTCAGCTGTTGCCTAAAATAGGACTTTAGAGAAAATGCTAGAAAGTGTATTTTTAGGTTATAAGTTTCCCTCCTGGATTCCTGCGGTCCAGTGGGCTGCTTAATACTCTCCCTGGTGCAGCCGCCAGGTGCAGACCCCAAACCTTCCAAACAGGTGGTCTGGAGCAAGGATTCCCATAGGAAAAAATGCTTATAGACCAAGAACAGGTGGACACATGCAGGATCCGTCCCATGTGGGACAGGGGCCAGCCAGGGGAAGAGGGCCAGCCAGGAGCCTCAGATTGGCACCACTAACAAGCTCCAGGGTGCTGCCGGCTCTGAGTGGCGAAAGTCATGAGATGGTAGAGATGGGTTAGGCTGCAGCCTGGGAGAAGTGTCAATGGCTTCAGCAGGGACAGGAACTTGGTCCAGGGTTGGGGAGCCCATCAAGAGTGAAGCTTTTGCCCCCCCACCCCGCACAGCCCCACACAGCCACTCCCTGTGTGACCTGGCTTCAGCCTTGTCTAAACTCGGACCCTCGATTCTGATGTATGTGAAGTAGGTCTGGAGCTCCTGCCCTGCCTCCCTTTAGGCTCTTGGGAAGATTCAGGCTTGGGTACGAGTGGCGGCTGGCTATGGCTGGTACAAAGGGTGTTTGAGAAAATGTAGAAGATTAAAAAAAAAAAGTGGCAGGTAAAGTGAGGCAGGTGCTTGTGGTGTTTGGAAACAGCATTCTTCAAGATGGCGTGTGGGGCAGGGCTGAGGGTCCTACCTGAGCAGGTCTGGAGTAGAGGCCTAGGAGGGAGTCAGGGAAGGGTCCTCACTGTCTGGGCCATTGGCGGCTGGAGGGTTGGTCCAGGGGAGCCTGGCTGGGGTGGGGCTCCGAGGGCTGGCTCTGCTGCTCACCTTGATCAGGTGGTTCTGGAAGATCAAGTGGCTCAGAACATGAGGGAGAGGAAGCTGAGCAGTATTCAGAAGGGGCTCCCTTGGCATGGGGTTGAGTGACATTGACCAGGACTGGGCAGCCAATCAGGGGAAGAGCAACCCAGGGGACCATGAGAACTACCAATTCTCTGTGTGACCTTGGGGTTCCTTGTGTCCTCCAGGCCTCAGTTTCCCCTCTGTGAATGGGGGGAGGCCAGAAGGGCCCCTCCTGGCTCTGGTCTTATGCTAAGGTGAGCCAAGCCACACTAGAACTCAATGTGAGCTGGCCGGGGTTGGAAGGACTTGGGCTCAAGCCATGCTTTCACAGAGGGCTGTGCAGACATGTCCAGGCCAGTGTGGCCTGGGCAGCACAGTGGGGAGGGGCTGCCAGACTCCTCAAGACCCCACTACATAACCCCCTCCTCTCTTGTCTCCTCATGCTCCTGTGGCTACCTGGATTCTGCAGAGCTCCCCACCGAGGAAGGTGAGGCCGGGCCTGGGGCATGCTGCCAGGCAGGGGCAGGACATCCTTGGACAGTTCTGTGAGGTTGTGATTTTCCTCTCCCCCAAGAATGAGGCCCTGCTGAGTCCCCAGCATTGCCCGAGCCTCTAGGGGCCTTGGACTCTCCATCTTTGAACTGCAAGGAGAATCGGGGATAGGGGGCCCCTGAAGCCAGCCCTGAATGGGGAGGGCAGTGGGTCAGAGGCTAGGCCTTATGCCACTCTCCTGTTTTCAGGGAAGTCCCTTTGGGAACTGGTGCTGGAGCAGTTCGAGGACCTTCTGGTGCGCATCCTGCTGCTGGCAGCTCTGGTCTCCTTTGTAAGTAAGCCCCGCCTGCCATCCCACAGTGTTGGGTAGCCCGGGAGGGTGAGCTGTGTCCCTGTGGTGCTCAGAAGCTCAGGCTGCAGGCCACAGAGCCACTGTCCTCTCAGCCATGGGCACCACTAATCTGCTCTCTGCCTCCCACCCCCATGTCCCTTTTCTGCTTTGGTCGGACTTCAGCTTCTGTTGCCTGAGCCTTTGGACCCTCAGCACTGGGCCCCTGGCTCCTATCTGCCCTGCCCCCATCTATCTTATGCCCTGCTGTCAGAGTGAGCGTTCAAAATCACAAGCTGACCTCACCCCTCCCTCAGCCCGGGGTTCCTCAACCTCAGCACTGTTCACATTGGGACCAAATAATTCCTGGTGAGGGTGGAGGGATGTCCTGTACATTGTAGGCTGTTTGGTAGCATCCCTGGCCTCTGCCCATCCGATGTCAGTAACAATCAAAAATGTCTTCAGATGTTGCTAGATGTCCCCTGGTTGAATGCTGCAGCTCCTTCTAGCACTCCTCAGGCAGATGCTGGCTTTAACCTCCTGCAACCTCCTCCTGGCTGCTGCTTCTCTTTGCATTTCCCTCATTCCTGCTGCCCACACCCCCTTCTAAACGTAGGGCCAGGCCCAGGGTGGACATGTGCGAAGGGACAGTGATCATTGTTTTTGGCTGAATAGCAGGGACTTGGGGCTGGAAAGCAGCCTCCTGTTCCTGGTCTCACTCCCAATAGGGCCTTGGGGGGAGACCTCATCTTGGTGACCTGGAGTGTGGAACAGCAGGGGCACTGGCTTGGGGCCAGCTCTTCCCCTCTAGTTGTGCCTGGTCCTTGTGGAATATGGGGACTCTTAGAAAAAAAAAATCTGCACATGGCAGAGCCCCAAGCCTGCTTGCACCCCTTTACAGCACAGATGGCCACACTGAGGCCCAAGTACTTGCTTAGGCCAAGAGGTGGACATGGGACTTGACTGGAGTCTCTGTCCGAGTCCTAGGCTCCAGGGCTGGAAGGATACTCCTCTGGCCAGGGACCTTGAATGGGAGCATGCATCAGAATCACTTGGGCTTTTCAAACAGATTCCTGGACCTGCCCCTGAGCTGTGACTCAGGAGGTCTAGGATAGGCCTGAGCACTGTGTTTCTAGCAAGTCCCCCAGGGCTGTGATGAGAAGCGCTGCTCTAGGCAGACAGAAGTCTCTGGCTTACCCCCACTCCTTGAAGGTGGTCCTGGATGGGTGGGAGCTGTGGTGGTCATATCTATGGGATGGGTGTCCAGTACCAAGGCCTTCTCAGAGGACAGCCCCTCTGCAAGCCCAAGACTCCCTGGGGGTATCTCCCTCGAGCAGGGAAAGCAGACAGGAGACCCAGGGTACAAAGGACAAGGAGAACAGCTAGCCCCCCAGCATGACCTGGCTCACCAGCTCTGACCCCGCAGGTCCTGGCCTGGTTCGAGGAGGGTGAGGAGACCACAACAGCCTTCGTGGAGCCCCTGGTCATCATGCTGATCCTTGTGGCCAACGCGATTGTGGGCGTGTGGCAGGTGAGAGGCACAGGTGTGGGACTAGGCGCAGGGCTTTCCTGGCTGCAAGTTGGGACCTCTACCTGTAGGTCCTCCTACTAGCTCAATCCCAGGTCCCAAGGGCATCACTCTGAGGGGAGACCTGCTGGGGGTTCCAGGACAGACCACCTGCCCGTCTATTGTACAGGAACGCAATGCTGAGAGTGCCATCGAGGCCTTAAAGGAGTACGAGCCTGAGATGGGCAAGGTGATTCGCTCAGACCGCAGAGGCGTGCAGAGGATCCGTGCCCGGGACATAGTCCCTGGAGACATTGTGGAAGTGGCAGGTATGCTGGGGCCTCCTCCTGCCTGTACATAACACCAGGGAGCCCTGGCCCTCTCTGTGCCTCCATATTTCCAGTTATTTATGTGGATGGGGTGTCTGTCACATCCCTTCAAAGATACTTGGCTGAAGCCTTATTGAGCAGATTGGGCAGCTGCGACCAGAGGGGCAGGGGTCTTCTTGAGGGATCACAACTTGGGCTTCTGACTCAGCCCTGGTCTTGGTTCCTTGGAGCCTTCTTGACTTTCCTGGGGGCTAGGGCTCAACACCACCCCCAGCCAAACCATTCTTCTTGCATAGTGGGAGACAAAGTGCCTGCTGACCTCCGCCTCATCGAGATCAAGTCCACCACGCTGCGAGTGGACCAGTCCATCCTGACGGGTGAGGCCCAGGGGCTGGGGTTGGGGCGGGGCAAGGGGATGGGCATGTCTCATATTAATTGATGATAATATGAGTGGGGCTTCTCATATTAATTCTACAACCAGGCGAATCCGTGTCCGTGACCAAGCACACAGACGCCATCCCAGACCCTAGAGCTGTGAACCAGGACAAGAAGAACATGCTGTTTTCTGTAAGTTCCTAGGATGCTCGGGGCCTTTGCCTGGACGATGATAATAAAAACAGTCACATTAATGTTAATCAAAGTTCTATTGGAAAGAACCTTCTCAGTTATCAGGAAAGCATGCAAATTTATAACAATAATAGTAGCTTGTGTTTACTGAGGCCTTTGTGCCTGGCACTGTTCCAAACTCTTTGGACACACTAGTTTATTTAATCCATACCACAAACCTTTGAAATAAGGTTATCTGGATCTTGTTATCTGTGTTTTTCCAGAAGGAAACAAGTCTCAGAGAGGTTAAGTAAATTGCCCAAGGTTACACAGCCTGAGTGGCAGAGCTTGGTTGTGAACTTAAACATCCTTGCTCGAGACCTTTTCTTCTTTCCTGCTAGGATACCCAGTCTTAACCTGGGGAGGGGCAGAGCTTTCCATTAGTCATTCAACAGAAAATCCTCTAGAGGGAAAAGAGTTACAAAAGTAGTTGAGGGGCTAGAGGTGTAGCTCAGTGTTAGAGCGCTTGCCTAGCACGTATGAGGTCCTGGTTCCATCCCCAGCACTGCAAAAAAATAAAAAATTAAATTAAATTAAAAAAAGAAGAAGAAGAAGAAAGAAAGAAAGAAAAGAAAAGTGAAGGATGGTGGGAATGGTCCATTTCTCAGATATAAAAACTGACCCCCTCCAAGGCATGATACTAAGTACCCTGGCTCTTCTCAGGGAGAATGGTAGCTTCAGCTCTGATGAGAGTGGCCTGTCCCCGTGGCCTCCAAGGGAGTTAACAGGTAATACAGCTGTTCAGCAATATCCTGGAGCCAGCATTGCATTTGGTGCCACAAGGAAGGGTCAGACCAGTTGGACAGTGGCCGGGGGCACCTAGTTAATTATAAGGGACTGTACAGTCTCCCTGAAAATGGAGACTGTGATGTTCATGTGGAGCACTTCTGAGGAGAGTGCCCTGCCCAGCTGCATGAACGTCTTGGACAAGATGCTTTGGGTGGGAGGGAAGCTCCTAGAGGTTTTCTCCAGTGTCAGCAGCTGTCACTAGGAAGCTCTCTGAGGGTGGTGTGGCTAACCACAGGCTATTTCCTTAGCTAAGGGACCTCCGCTGCTCAGGGAAGAAGGGAGACGAGGCTGCCGCAGCACGTGCCCTCTTACCAGCCTCCACAGCATGGCCCTTTGAAGGCACACCCAGCAATCAGCTTCCTTATCATGCTGTCTTGGGCCTCTGATGAACCATTTTGCAAAAGAGGACTGAAGCACAGAGTTGCCTGTCCCTTACATGGAACTTGGGGATTTTACTGGGGCCTTAGGAATGGATGAACTTAGATTCAGGTTTTCTTCATTCTTCAGTAAATATTTAAGAACTGTGTACCTGGAATCATGGTCAGCCACTCTGCTGTGTGGCCATAGTGGTTGTTTATGAATCATGTTATAATGGGTTTGATGGGCTTATGCCCAGGCTGTGCTAGTTGATCAGACTGTCAAGCTCAGCCCCAGAGCCACCTCTGTGCCAGACCCTTTGCTAGGCACTGGGGATATGGCAAACCAAATTCCTACCTTCATAAATCTCAGACTATCATGGAAAGTTATCAATGTCCCAATAAAAAAGTCTACAGGCACTAGCAGCATGGAGAAAAAGAAAGCCAAGTCAGAGGATGAGAGTCCTCCTCCTGCCTTGAAGAGGTTGGGTTCCTGGCCCTGGTTGGAGGCTGAGCAGTTCTTTCTTTGTCTCTCCTTGGCCAGGGCACCAATATAGCATCAGGCAAGGCAGTGGGTGTGGTGGTGGCCACAGGTCTGCACACGGAGCTGGGCAAGATCCGGAGCCAGATGGCAGCAGTGGAGCCTGAGCGGACACCACTGCAGCGCAAGCTGGATGAGTTTGGGCGGCAGCTGTCCCACGCCATCTCTGTCATCTGTGTGGCTGTATGGGTCATCAACATTGGCCACTTTGCTGACCCAGCCCATGGTGGCTCCTGGCTCCGTGGTGCTGTCTACTACTTTAAGATTGCCGTGGCCCTGGCTGTGGCTGCAATCCCCGAGGGCCTCCCAGCAGTCATCACTACGTGCCTGGCATTGGGCACACGGCGCATGGCACGCAAGAATGCCATAGTGCGGAGCCTGCCCTCTGTGGAGACCCTGGGCTGCACCTCAGTCATCTGCTCTGACAAGACGGGCACTCTCACTACCAATCAGATGTCAGTGTGCCGGGTAAGTGGCTGTAGCCAGCTTGGGGTCCCTCAGGTGTTGCTATGAGACCCTGGGCAGCTGGGCTTGCCCCCTCCCCTCCGTTTTGGCAAGGGATAGAGGAGGAAACACAAGCTCTCTCCCCTGTGGGAAGCAGATCCAGGTTTGATGAGGCAGAGCAGATGACTGGTAGGCTGTAGCAGATGATGCCTGCAGAACACATGTCACTGTGGCCTGTGTGTTACTGTGGGGCCCTGGGCAGTCTGTGGACCTCAGTCTCCTCAACTGAAGCTTGGATGTACAAACCCTGCCAGGTAACCATTAGGAATCCAGGAGAGTGTCAAGTACAACCCTGGTGTCTCAGTCAAGCTGGATCTGGACCTAGGTTCTATCCTGCTCGATCATGACAGTGTAGTTGATGCCTGTCACTAGATATGCCAGCTCCAGTGACCTAGAAGGACGAGGGCAGGAATTATTCATTCCCTGGCACTTGATCCCATATCTTGGGCCCACTGTCCACATGCTCCAGGAAAGCTGGCTGAGGGCAGTGGGCTCCTCCTGACCCAACAGAGAGGTGGGTGGTGAGATGATGAAGGCTATAGGTTCCCCACTCTTCCCAGGTTTCCCATCACCCTTCTTCCAACCCTGCCTCTGAAGTCTGTGCACTAGGCCTCAGGAACCCAGGCTGAGTATTTTGAGATCCTAAGGTCCCATAGAGGTTCATCCATCAGAATGGGCAGGGAATGTGGCAAGCTTTACTGCCCTGTGGACCCTGACCTGCTAAGATCCCTAGTAGCATTTTATCTGAATAGTGTCTCCCTTGACTGAAATAAAGATTTTAAAAGCCCAGTGTAGGGAAGATATAGAGGCTGGACACACTGGATAATAGGCCTTGTTTGCTGGAGTAATGCCCCTAGAACAGAGATAAAAGCAAGAAGGTCATTACTGAGCACCTGTTGCATGCTGGGCTGGCTATTTGATTATGTGCAGTGAGGAAGGCAATCTCCGGGAAACAAGAACTGTCTCCCTAGTGGAACTAGCTAACAGACAAGGAAGCAGGCTGCCCTGGGCGGGAAGAGCAACCCTGTTTCTGAGTTGCAGAGATATGGGCCTGCCAGTAGGCCCTGCTGGCAGGGCCTCCCTCTCTGGAGTCACCTCTGGGTTTGGAGGTCTCTGTGCCTCAGAGCAGGGTGTGTGTTTCCTACCCTGAAGGCCAGGAATTCATCCCCTGGAAGAGAAAGGAGCAGCTGCTGGACTCTGAGCCCACTTTTTTCCCATATTACCATTGCGAAATCGAGGTTCAGGTACTTGACCAGGGATCACACTGTGAGATGAGGAAGGACCCAAATTAGCAGCTGCTCCCAGACACTGAAGAATCAGCCAAAACCCCCTCAGAGTCTACAGCAAATGGCCAGACCAGAGCTGGACATACTTGGGCAGAGTACCCGCCTCAGCTGGGATCCTGTACTTACTACTTCTCTCCGGGGAGGGGGGACAGGCGGCTTTTGGGGTCTGGCATCCAGGGGTCAAGCTTTATTCAAACTGGTTGCTCTGGGAGAAGGGAGGCCATCCAGCCGCCTGAGCACTCCTGTGTGCTCCCCAGATGTTCGTGGTAGCTGAAGCGAAAGCGGGCTCCTGCAGTTTGCACGAATTCACCATCTCGGGTACCACGTATACCCCTGAGGGAGAAGTGTGAGTGCGCGGGAGAGGGGTGGGCGTGGCCTCAGGTGGGCGGGGCTCACCGAACAGCGCAGAGGTGTCCTTGGGCTTGGCCTTCTGGGGGCGGGACTAAGGGCACCTCCCAGGGGCGGGGCCACAGCCTTGTACTGACCATCTCTGCTTCGCAGGCGGCAGGGGGAGCAACTTATTCGCTGCGGCCAGTTCGATGGGCTGGTGGAGCTGGCGACCATTTGTGCCCTGTGCAACGACTCGGCGCTGGACTACAATGAGGTGGGCTCCCAGTCCCTTTCCTGACCTCTCTAGTTTCCAGGCGTTCCAGATCTTTTCCCAGAGTCTCGAAGTTCCCAGGGGTGGGTGGTCTTTTCCTCTTGGGAGTGTCCCAGGAGCCTAATCACCCCTGCACATCCCTGCTCCCATCCCTCCCTCTGGCTCCGATGGCTTCAGAACCCTGTCCCTGGGTTTTGGGGGCTATGGAAGACCGCAGTGTAAGGGTCTGAAGGGCCAGGGATGCCTGGGGGAAGAGGTGAAGGAGGGCAGGGCGCGAAAGGGCATTTAAGGCAAAAGGCACAGCCCAGGACAGGCTGCGATGTGATTTAAGCATTGAATACCATTGTGTGGCGGAGCTGGGGAATGGAGTGTTAGTAGTGTGCCCCAGCCTGAGGGGAGGTCTTCGGTCAGATCAAGTCAATGCCCCTACCAAGCTGAGGGCAGTGGAGAGCCAGCAAAAAGTTCTGAGCAGGGAGTCATGTAGTGAACCTTGCATTTACTAAAGATCTTCCAGGTTTCTGGATAAATGATGGTACAGGCAGAGCAAGATGGGAGCCAGGTGCCCTGTGTCATCTAGGCCAGAGAGATACCAGCTGAATCCTGACTGCAGGCTTAGGGAGAAGGAGAAGGCATGGGTCAGAGAGAGATTTAGGAACTGAAAATCCTATGACTTGGTGGCTGGGTAGGTGAAAGAGAGGGAATAAGTCACTGCCAACATAGGGAGAGGAGGAGGTGGCCTGAGGGGACCTCAGGGAACAAGGTGCCCTAGGCAGCATGTGGGTGTGTGGGCTTAGAGTTTGCCAGAGAGGTTCTTGACTGGGCTCAGCACTGGCAGTCAGGAGCACTTGAAAGGCAGTGGAAGCAGGAGGCATTTTGGGTCTCGAGGAGAGAAGGTGGGAGGGGGGAAGCAGGACCCAGGCAGCAGGCTTTCAAGACCCAGCAAGGAGAACCTGTTGAAGGAGGTTGAGAAGGAATGGACAGAGACTGGGAAGGCACTGATGCAGGGACTGGAGTGTAAATGTCAATACCAGACACCATCCCAACCACACGTCAGGCTGGCTGGGAAGGGCTCACAGGCCTGTGCAAAGACATTTTGGCAAAGGGGTCTCCAGGGGGCAAGGAGAGAGTGGGAAGTGAGGCTGGAAAGCCAAGCTGGGATAGCTGCCCCTCACTCCCTGTCTCCTTGGACCCGGCAGGCCAAGGGCGTGTATGAGAAGGTGGGAGAGGCCACAGAGACAGCTCTGACATGTCTGGTGGAGAAGATGAATGTGTTCGACACTGACCTGAAGGCCCTGTCCCAGGTGGAGCGAGCTGGCGCCTGCAACGCGGTGAGCAGGGTGGGGGTCTCTGGCCTCCGGCTGCATGGCTGGGTTTTCTGGGTCATCTGGAGAGGAGAAAGGAAATCAGAGTCATGGGAGGCTTCTGGGAGGAAGAAGGACCTCAACCTCCTAATAAGACTTGGATCTAAGCAAGGAGAGGGAAGGGATGAATGTGGGCAAGGGTTTGGAGTTGGGAAATGCACATTAGGCCAGGAAGTGCTGGGCTTTTAGAGAGGAAGGTAGGGCCTCAAATGCTGTGACCAGAGGAGTACAGATACCAGGCCACAGAGAACAAGAGGTGTCTTCTTGGGGCCAAGTGATTGGTGAGAAGCAGAAATGAGTTGCTGGCTCTGTCCCTCATGCCCTGACCCTCCTGGACTCTCAGGTCATCAAGCAGCTCATGAGGAAGGAGGTCACCCTCGAGTTCTCCCGGGACCGGAAGTCCATGTCAGTGTACTGCACACCTACCCACCCTGACTCCAAGGCCCAGGGCAGCAAGATGTTTGTGAAGGTAGGGGCCTGTCTCAGGGGCACCTGATTGCCAGTCCTCTGAAGCACCAGAGCCAGTAGCTACAAGAGGTTGAACTAGGGGAGGAAGAGGCCCCTTGTAGAGTGACCATGCTGTGGGGAACTGGGAACAGTATCCAAGCGTGATGGGGAGAAGCTAGGGCCAAGGGACCAAGGCTGAGGGACCCTGCCTCACCACATGGCCTTAGAGTCATCCATGCTTCTTTGTGGGCCTCAGTTTCCCCTTGCGAACAGCAGGGTCAGGCAGGCAGTTCTTAGAAGACCATTTTGCTTCTGGTGGTTTTGAAGTAGTTGGTACCCTCCCTTGGTGCTCCCCCTCCCCCACACTTTTTTAATTGGTACATAATCATGGGATTTGTTGTTACGTATTCATACATGCACACAATATAGCAGTATAGTTTGGCCAGTATCACTCCCCAGCACTTTCCCCGCTCCTCTATTGTTCTCCTTGCCCACCTTTGTTTTCCTTTTTCCTCTCTAGCTTCCGCATAGGAGAGAAAACATATGACCCTTGACCTTCTGAGTTTGACCTATTTCTCTTGACACGATGGTCTCTAGTCCCACCCATTTTCCTGCAAATGCCATAATATAATTTTTATTTAGGGTTGAATAAAACTCCATTGTGTATATATACCACATCCTCTTTTGTCCATTCATCCATTTGTGGACACTTAGGCTGGTTCCGTAGTTTGGCTATTGTGCAGATGCTAGGGATTTTGGGGACACTGAGTCCCTCAGAGGGAGAGGCACCAGTTCCCAGGCAGACCTCCATGCAGAGCACCTCCAGTTGCTGCTTTCCAACCTGAAATAGGAATCACAACCGGGACTTCACCCCACGAAGCAGATTTTAACCCTTTGCAAAATGAAAAGACTTTCACCCTGGGAGCCTGGGTTACTTTGAAAAGAGAGAAGGAGAAGCCATTGAGGGAGCTTTCAGAGACTGTTCCTAGGCCTGGGGTAAGGTCCAAAGTGAGACCCTGAGGCTGCAGAGGAGCCTGTCACCTCCGACCCCAAATACACACCAGCTTCCCAGGCTCACACCCACCACACCCTCTGCACCTCTCTATTTTGGGTCCCCTGGCTGGGCTCAGCCTGCTTCTCTACTTCCAAGACTCCTACAGAATTGGCCCCCCAGAGGCACCAGGCAGGCAGGAGCATAGTGCCTGCATGGGATGCCAATCCCACCCACCCTACCCCCAAATGATGCTACAGGCCTTATCAATTGTGGGCTGTGACCTTATCTCCCCTTTCCCTTGAGGTTTTCTCACAGTGGGGCCTACTTGGTTTCTACTCGGAGTTATCTAAGAATGGATTCTGTGCATCCTTGGGAGACCTTTCCCCATATCTGGGTCTCCTTTCCTCAGTTGGGCAGGGAGGGGTTGTGGAGCCCTAGCTGACAGAGTTGCCTCGCCTCCTCCCCACCTCTGCAGGGGGCTCCTGAGAGTGTAATTGAGCGCTGCAGCTCAGTCCGTGTGGGGAGCTGCACAGCACCCCTGAATACCACCTCCAGGGAGCAGATCCTGGCAAAGATCCGAGATTGGGGCTCAGGCTCAGAGACGCTGCGCTGCCTGGCACTGGCCACCCGGGATGCACCCCCCAAGAAGGAGGACATGCAGCTGGACGACTGCAGCAAGTTTGCTCAGTACGAGGTGCGTGCTGGCACCATGCGTGTCCCTTTAGTGACCGGGCAGGTAGCAGGTCAAGGGTGGGCTCAGGTCCAGCTTGCACCTACTCCCTTCCTACAGACAGACCTGACCTTCGTGGGCTGCGTGGGCATGCTGGATCCCCCACGGCCCGAGGTTGCTGCCTGCATCACACGCTGCCACCGAGCGGGCATCCGCGTGGTCATGATCACAGGGGACAACAAAGGCACGGCTGTGGCCATCTGTCGCCGGCTTGGCATCTTTGGAGACACAGAGGATGTGGAGGGCAAAGCCTACACAGGCCGCGAATTTGATGACCTCAGCCCAGAGCAGCAGCGCCTTGCCTGCTGCACCGCCCGCTGCTTTGCCCGCGTGGAGCCAGCGCATAAGTCCCGCATTGTGGAAAACCTGCAGTCCTTTAATGAGGTCACTGCCATGGTGAGGTTACGAGGCTGGTGCCAGGGGAGGTGGTTGACTTGATTACAACTGTAATCTAGTTCTTGATCTTATGTTTAACTTCAGTGCTGACTTTGTCCCTGACCTTGACCTTGATTTCTGTCTTTTTGTGTGTGTGTGCTAAGCACTCTCTGCCACTAAGCTATATGCTGGCCCCTCTGTCTTCCATTTTAATCTGGTTCTTACTTTGAGCTCCACCCTAATATGGGTTTCAGCCTTGACCAGGACCCAGAGCTGATCCCTGACCACCCACCCCACTACACATGCCATGCAATACTTTAATGTTGACTTCAGCTTTAATATGGCTTCCAATTTTGATCTTGAGAGCAACTCCAAACTTGACTATAATATCACTTCTAATGTGGATGGTAACCTTGATTTGGCCTCTGATTTTTACTTGACCTCTACCGTAATCCTTTTTTTTTTTCTTTTCTTTTCTTGAGCCTGAGTTTAGTATTGACCCTGACCTTCACTTTAAGTCCAGCCTTCACCTTGACTCCAATACATACCTGGCCCTTGACCTGGGTCACAACCTTGGCCCCTGAAGTGCCCTCAACTTTCTCTCTAACTTCAGCTTCATCTTCTACTCCACATCCCACCTGAGTTTCATCCCTGCGCTCATCACGGACTCACCCTCACTCTCCTTCCACCTCTTCCTCTTCCCTGACTTTACACTTTATCTCTCGAACTTTGCCATGGTCTCCACCCCTTGCCTTTCCTTTAGCTTCATTCTTCACCCAGTTTCTAAGTTCATTCTTGATGTCATCATTTGTTCTGTCCAGATGTCTGCTGAATTGAGGGCAGTGGGGAGGTGGAGGGAAGTTTCTCAGGTGCTGTGCTCCCTGACCTGGCCCACAGACTGGTGATGGGGTGAACGACGCACCTGCCCTGAAGAAAGCAGAGATCGGCATTGCCATGGGCTCAGGCACAGCTGTGGCCAAGTCAGCTGCAGAGATGGTGCTGTCAGATGACAACTTTGCCTCCATTGTGGCTGCTGTGGAGGAGGGCCGGGCCATCTACAGCAACATGAAGCAATTCATTCGCTACCTCATTTCCTCAAATGTCGGCGAGGTTGTCTGGTGAGGCTCTGCATCCTTCCTTCCATTCTTTTGGAGCAGCTCTGTGTCCCTGAGACTGGGCTGCAGGGATTGAGGGACACATGTCCTGGCCTGGTCCCACCCCAGGTTGAGGAGAAGCAGAGGCACCTCATCATTCTCCAGAGGCCCTGATGACCTATGTGGACCCCAGGGAGGTGCCTGAAGGGTCCCTTGTCATTCTTCCAGCCAGGGTCTCCTTTCCACTTTCATAGAACTAGCGTCACCTTTGGGCATTAATGTGTCCATGCATGTGCAGAAGTTAATTGGCCTGTGTGTGCACTTAGTGTGAGTGCCCAGTGAGAGGTACGTGTGTGTGTGTCTACATGCATGAATACAAACAGGATGATCAGATTGTGGGCATCTCACCTGTGACCCACCTTCATTCCTGTCCCCATCCATCATCTCCCCCTTTACACGTGATCTTCTCCCCAACCTTGTCCTTGTCTCCAACTTATGTTCTTATGTGAGAGATGCCTGTGGGGGGTGGTGAGCACATGCTTGCTGGACATGTGGCTTCTGCACCTCTGCATATTGGGGCAGGCAGGTAAGTGTCTGCTTGTGTTGTGGGACTCTAGGTTTTTGCATGTGACTGATGCTTGGCCATTCGTTGTTTGTGTGTGTGTTTGTGCACGCATGTGTGTGTGTGTGCGCGTGTGTGCACATGTGTATTTGGCCTCTGGTAGGTTTAAAGAACAGATGTGTCCAGAGTCCAGAGCTGGGACTAGGGGAGGCAGGGCTGGCCTAGGTGTGAGCAGGAGCTGGACCCTCCATCTGGTGGAGGCTGGGCCTGCTGGGGGCTAGAGCCCATGACTCTGGTTCTAGCATCTTCCTCACAGCAATTCTGGGCCTGCCTGAAGCCCTGATCCCCGTGCAGCTGCTCTGGGTGAACCTGGTGACAGATGGCCTACCTGCCACAGCCCTGGGTTTCAACCCACCAGACTTGGACATCATGGAGAAGCTGCCCCGGAATCCTCGTGAGGCCCTCATTAGTGGCTGGCTCTTTTTCCGATATCTGGCTATTGGAGGTGAGCAGGGCCCAAGCCGTTGGTGAGCTTCCTGAGAGCCTGTATTCGTTAGGCTTGCAAACTACAGACAGAGAAATTTGGCAAGCTTATACCAAAAGAAACTCTAAGGGCTTGTGTAAAAAGACTAGAGCATACCTCAGATATGGCTGAATCCAGGCCTCAGACAGTATTACTGTCATATTTTGGCTCTGCCTTGGCTCCATTTCTCAGACATGCATCCCTCAGTGTGGCAGAATGGCTGCTGCCGCTCTAGCCCTCCTGCTTGCTGTATTACAACCCCAAATTCAACAGAAGAGAGAATTTTTTGATAAAATTCTCAAGCCTGTTCTCATTAGCATAAGTTGGGTCACCTGATTAACTTCTAGCTAATTAGTAGAAGTTGGCATTGAGGGTAGGTGTCTACAAACCACATGACTTAGAGAGGGCAAGGGTGGTCCCCTGATGGAAATTCAGGAAATGGCTAGGAAGAGGAAATGGAAGCCAGGAAACTGCCACTACAGCCAGTCTCCTCCCCTCCCTGCAGTGTACGTAGGCCTGGCCACAGTGGCTGCCGCCACCTGGTGGTTCCTGTATGATGCCGAGGGACCTCACATCACCTTCTACCAGCTGGTGAGCAACTGATGGCCAGGAAGCCTGTTGGGTAGACTCAAGGTAGAACTTACCATTTGGGCTGTTGGGAGTTCCATGGGAGAAGGATCCAGAACCCCATGGTTGCCCACACTGTCCTACACCACTCCCCTTATTAAACATCCACCACCTAAATAGCCAAACTCGGAATGACTGGAAACTCAGAGACCCCAATGGAAGTTACAGGGTTTCCTTCCCTGAGTGTGTCTGCCCCTGGCACCCGAGCAGGAGGCGGCCCCGGGACCCACATTCCTGGCATCCAGTTGCCCTTGAGGCTATGGGATGAGCCCTCCTGAGGCAGTGGAGAGCCTGGTCCCAGGCCCTCATCCTGAAGGCCAGCAGCCCTCTCTTTCTGCCCACTGCCGAAGCTCAGGTCAGCCTTGGGTGCCTGTGCCCCCTTGGTTCTTGTGGGAGCCAGACTACAGTGAGGAAGATGCCACCTCCTTCCAGCCCTGTCTCTGTGACCATTCTTTAAAGATTCCAAATCTCCAAGACCCTGCCCCCCACATTGGTTCCTCTCTTCCCTCCCCATCTTGGTTGCACTGCCTGCCTGGTCACCCAGCCGGTCACCTGAGAGTCACACTGATCCCTTCCCATGCCCTCCATCAATCAGTGCCCATTGGCTCTGCACTGCCCTCTCAACAGTCGGAGCTCATCCCTTTTCTCAATTAGCTGCTTGACCAGGAAATGGCTATTAAGCATCCACTGTGTGCCCTGCACAAACTAATAAGCCTTTGGCAGTGATGAGGAAGCAGTTCCTGCAGAATTTAGTCTGGGGTGGGAGGAATGAGGGCCATGGAAACAGGTGTTCACATTCAGCAGAGAAAAGATAGGTGGTTGTGGGACTCAGAAGTAGTCAGGTTTAGACCTAAGGGAGAACTTTCAGCTCCAGTTGTTGGGTTTCAAGAGTCTAAAGTCCTAGGGTTCCCGGAGGAAGCTGCTAAGAGGCCACAGAGCAGGAGGCATGGAGCCTGGATCACAGCTGCCAGGTTCACACCCTAGGTCACTACATGCTAGCTCTGTGAGCCTGGGCAGACTGCTTAACCTCACTGTACCTCATCTGCAAATGGGTAATAATAGTTCCTACCTCATAGGGCTATTGAGAGGGTTAGCTGGGTTAATACTTATAAAGTGCTTAGAATGACACCTGGTACACAGTAAAAGCCATGAGTGTTCATTAAGTTAGTCAAACCCAAAACACCTTACAGGGAAGGCAAGGAAGAAACAGGCAAAGGGAAGGAGTAGACACAGCAGTTGCTTCAGTAGAAATGGGCTCGCACAAGGATTCCTGATGTGCTTAGGAAACGGACAGTTCAGCCCGAGCACCTTCCAATGAACCATGTAGGAGTCCACACTGCGAGCTATGATCTGGAGCATAATGTGTGTGTGGCCTGGGCTCACTGGGTAGCATCTAGGAGGTCAGAATGGACAGTGTTTATACCGATGGATTTATTGAAACACCTAGGTATGATCCTGCTGGTATTTTTACCCCCTGTGCAGCTCAAGGCTGTACCTGTTTTGCATGTTCACATAAGTTGTCAGGATCTGGGAGGGTGGGATCTGATGGTGGTGGCACAACTAGCAGGAAGACTTGGTTCTCTTGGCCTCTTGGTCACTGGGTGGGTAGAGCCAGGTTCCAAGTTCAGGACATTTTCTTGGCTCTATGATTAGCTCCAAATAAAAGCGAGTACCCTTGCCTCTGATGTGTGGCTTTGGGAGAAACAATTCCTCTCAAAAAAGAGACAAGATTCTCTATCTCTATCTCTTAAAATAAGAACTAGCCAACCCATAGTTTCCTAATTTTCCTTCCTGCATGAGAGAACAGAGGCAGGTGCCCAGAGCTTCCTTGGCCACTGCCACTCGTGCCGTGGGGGGAATCGGGCTGCCCTCACTGGGCAGGTGAACAGACAGTGCATCCCTTCATGAGTTCCCCTTGGAGGATTATTTTCACAGCACAGCGCCCCATTTTCAAAGCTCTCTGTGTTCAGATTAGACTCCCAGAAGCAGATTTATGTTATCGTAGAACTGATCTGTCTGGTGGTTTTGAATGTTTACACTCATCCCCATGACATGGAAGAGAATGCAATGGAAGTTCTCCTGAAGGTTCTCACCTCAGTATCTCATCTCATTAGATGAGCAGCAGGGAAACTGCCCCAGGCTACAGGGGCCAGGGTCACTTCCTTTATCACACCCTGACAGTTTCTTGTTAATTGCACCCATGATTCATGACCCATGTCATAAGCAAAAAGCAAGTCTGCCAGAGCTCAATTTCAGTGGCAGAAAGGGAGTGAAGTAGGAAGGGGATTGTTGTTGTCATCATTGTTTTTGGTACCAGGGGTGATTAACCACTGATCCACATCCTCATCCCTTTTTATTTTTTTATTTTGAGACAGGGTCTCATTAATTTACTCAGCCTCCAGAGTCATTGGGAGAATCGACATGCACCACCACGCCCAGCTGAAACCTTTTTTCTAATAGCAGTGAAGAGCTGGGCATGGTGGCCCATGCCTGTGGTCCCAGCTACTCAGGAGGCTGAGTCAGGAGGATCATTTGAACCCATGAATTCAAGACCAGCCTAGGCAATGCAGCAGGACCTTGTCTCAAAAAAAAAGAAAAGAGAGGAAAAAGAATCAGAATCAGAGTAACAGTGAATAAGGCCCGTGTGGCCTTCGTCTTCTACACCCTAAAGGGAAATTTCATTCACCCATGATTTTGTTGTTTAGTTTTCACATGCTTTTACTTATTCATGGGTCTTGGTCAATTCCTGCACCTGAGAGACTCAGGGGACCCTGCAGAGCCTTGGGGCAAACCCTGGATCCTCCCACCAACTGCAGGCCCCTGTTGTCTTCCCCAGCCTCATGCAGCTGTTGTGCCTCAGATCTACAGACCCCCCTGTCAGTGGCCCTCCTTCCTCTGCGTCTCCTTGCAGCACAGTGTAGCCCCATGTTGCCCCCACCGAGGAGCAGCTCTCATGGGGTCCCTGAGTTCACCCTGCCCACTATTATCCTCAGATGTGGCTGAGGGCAGGGGTCGGGGGATGCTTCCCTGTCTACCTGCCCGCTCCTCCCTGACTGCGCCCTGTGCCCTCAGAGGAACTTCCTGAAGTGCTCTGAGGACAACCCACTCTTCGAGGGCATCGACTGCGAGGTCTTTGAGTCCCGCTTCCCCACTACCATGGCCTTGTCGGTGCTTGTGACCATCGAGATGTGCAATGCCCTCAACAGGTAGGTGGGCACTGGGCTGGAGCGGGGCTGAGGGTCTGGGGGTACCCAGGAGGGGCTCTGAGAATCAGTGAGGCTAGAATTGGGATCTGAGGGACAAAGGAGGCCAAGGCTGGGGTGTGAAGGGAAGTCTGAGTATGCTGGAGTAGGGGGTGGCCTAGCAGGGCCCCCTGCATCCTGGCCTGAGGTGAGTACCCCATGCCCTTGGCAGCGTCTCGGAGAACCAGTCGCTGCTGCGGATGCCGCCCTGGCTGAATCCCTGGCTGCTGGCGGCTGTGGCCATGTCCATGGCCCTGCACTTCCTCATCCTGCTGGTGCCACCCCTACCCGTGAGTTGCTCAGTCTGCCTCCTCCCCTCCTTTGGTTCCTGAAGTGATAAGGACCAGTCTTTGGATGTTAGGGGCCCTAGGCTGGGCACTGGGCCTTCCCAGGTCCCTCTGCAGTAGAAGGAGCCCCCAGACTGAGGGGCAAATGTGGAGACCCCTTGCTGATAGAGTATCCCAAAACTGGGGCGGAAGGCAGTCGCAGGGCCTTTTCCAGAGCATGGATGGGCTTAGTCCTGTAGGCGAGAGAGGGGAGGGCACTCTGGCAGAGGAGACCGAGTGGACAAAGACCTGCAGATGGGACATCAAGGGGGGGGGGGGTCTTAGAAGTGCTCACAGAGAGGCCATTGGTGTCCAGGTGGATGAAGCAGGTGGCCGGCTCGGGCCTGAACCAGATCTCCCTTCTCTCCCCACCAGCTCATTTTCCAGGTGACCCCACTGAGCGGGCACCAATGGGTGGTGGTGCTCCAGATATCTCTGCCTGTCATCCTGCTTGATGAGGCCCTCAAGTACCTGTCCCGGCATCACATGGATGGTGAGTGGGAGGCCCCAGGCCCTCTGTCCTGCTCGTCCCCAGCCTCTCTCCCCGCCTGCCTCTGCTCTTGAGCTGCCATGGCCACCTCAGTGTGGATGCCTCAGATGGTCCCAGCTCCAGCCTACCTGTCTGAATGGTGAAAGTGTTCTTGGGTCACAAAGTCGAGGATGGGAAGGGGCTCTGGTGGCTGTGACACGAGGTGTGTAGGGGTCTTGTGTTGCAGGGGTGTGGTTGGACTCACAGGGCTGCCAACTGGGACACTGCTGAGGGGCACGCTGCCTTGCTGTCCTCACGCACCACCACCCCACTCAATGCCAGGACACTGTGCCTTCCTTCTGGCCTTGGCCTCTGACCCCTCTGCACTGGCCTGTCTTTATCCAGGCATTCTCGGGACAGTCTCACAGGCCTGGAGTAGGCAGCCGCTGACCAGCTCCCGGACCCCAGACCACACCGGGTTGGCTTCTTTGGTGTCACCTTGTGGGTGGGTGCAAGGGGAGGGTCTGCCTTTATCCGACGATGGAAGACAGAATAACAGGGGTCAGGTGGGGAGGCCCCACATGGGGGAGCAGGCTAGGGGAGGGGCCTGCTCTGGGCACTAGGTCTTTGGGGGCTACTTCTGGCAGGAATGTGTTCCTGCCTTATGGAAGTGGGACGAGCTATAAATAAATCACATGCTTATCATTCCACAGGGACCAAGGCAATCAATTGGCTTCCATCCCCCCACTGGCCAGTGTGCTGGACACCACAAATAATTTGTCTTCTTTTTTTTTGTACCGGGGACTGAATCCAGGGCTATTTAACCACTGAGCCACATCCCAGCCCTTTTTTTGTATTTTATTTAGAGCAGGGTCTCACTGAGTTGCTTTGGGCCTCGCTAAGTTTGAGGCTAGCTTTGAACTCACCATCCTCCTGCCTTGACTTCCCACCTTGACCTCCTGAGTTGTTGGGATCACAGGCATGCACCATCACTTCCAGCTAAATAATTTGCCTTTTAAGAAGGATCTAGACTTGGGTTGTAGCTGAGTGGTAGAGTGAGTGTGTTGCACCTACAAGGTCCCAAGTTCCACCCCCACGGGGTGCCATAAAAAACCCAAACAACAATAAAATAAAAAGGGCCAAATGAGTCAGCCTCTTCACTCTGGAGAACCTGGCCTGTTATTATAGGTTTGTCTAGGAAGTGACTGGACCCAAAGCAGGGTCTGTTGGAGTCCCTGAGAGGGATCGGGGAGCTGGACTGGACCACTTTCCCTACCCTACACACGTGATTCTTTCCAGCTCAACCCTCTGTGGACACCCCTGGGAGATGCTGAGGAGAAAATGTGTCCCACACCTATGGGGGCCCAAGGCATCCCAGCTCTGGCCAGAGCACAGGGATGTTCTACTAGGAAAATCCTCTGGCCAACCCTGAGCTCATCAACTCACCTTCAAAGCCAGGCCTCCCAGGCACACAGGCAGCTTGGATGGCTCCTTTGTCCTCATCAAGAGATTTCCCCAGGGGCTACAACTGCTGAGGAGTGTAGCAAGTTTTCTTGAGAAAATTTAAAAATGAGAAAATTCTGTCCAGGGATAAAATTCCTCAGCCAGTGTCATGAGAAGCCCGTGTCATGGGTGCTCTTCAGCATTGGCTGCTGGGAAAGGAGGGTTCCTAGGCCCAGTGGAAGTGGGAAAGGGAGCCCAGCATCGGGGCAGGAGGGGTTCAGGCTTAAAACAGATGTTTAAAAGGACAGGACAACCTGGTGAGGCAGGGGCTGGGGGTGTGTCTTATGGGGCTGGTGCCTGGAGTTCAGGGCAGAGAGGTGAGGCCCAGAGGGCAGCAATATCCCTGAATGTCATGGTGAGGGCCTAAACATTATCCTTAGGGTAATGGGGAGCCACAAAGGGGTTGCAAGCTTAGGAGGGCCTGTGGCAACCATGGCAGACACGTAGAGAGAGACTGGAAGGCTGTAAGCAGGGAGATTGGGGGGTGCTAAGCTGCACCAGGGAAGGGAGCTGGTCTCAAGCAAGACCTTTTCCTCCACCTTTTTTTTTTCTTTTTCCCCCAGTACCAGGGATTGAACCCAGGGGCACTTAACCACTGAGCCACATCCCCAGCCCTTTTTTATATTTTATTTAGAGGCAGGGTCTCACTGAGTTGCTTAGGACCTCGCTAATTTGCTGAGGTTGGCTTTGAACTCACCATCCTCCTGCCTCGGCTTCCCAAGTCACTGAGATCACAAGCACACCACCGTACCTGGTTTCCCTCCACCTTAAACCAGAGACATTAACTGTGGTCCCCCTGAAATTTTACTTGAAAGGGCAGTGACTTTGGGGCTCCAGGGAGGGACCCAGGGTGGGTACCTGAGGCCACTTCTGGAGGTGGGGTAGAGGAATGTGCTTGCTGGAAGCCTGGACAGCTCTTCCCTGGGCATGCAGGCGGGCAGCTGCCGTCCCTTGAGACTCCTAAAGCCGGATGGAGTGGGGGTGAGAGAGGGGACCCTTTGCATTCCCAAGCCAGCCAAGTGGCCTTTTAGGGAAGTTTTGCTGAGGCTTGATGCCTGTGGCTTCCCCATGATTTATGAAGGATGTGTACTGGGGAGAATTGTGGATGCAGGGTCAGCTCTAGGGTGTTGGGATGGGGGTCCTCTTGTTCCACCTCCTGGCTCTGTCCAGGTGTGGCTGGTCAGCTGTCAGGGGAGGCCTGTGCTGGGCTATGAAGAAGGAAGGATGGAGAGGCCAAGTGGGGACAGATCTGGGAGAGTCCTGAGTACAGGATAGGCTTGGACTTTATTCTGGGGACAGTGGGGAGCCATGAAAGGGAATGGGCTGCTCTGGACTTTTGCTGATTGCCTGTGGCTGGAAGTGGATGGTGAGGGGAGACAGGGCTGGGGGCTGGGACAAGGCTTGAGGTCTTCAGGCCCTAGTGACGTATAGTGGAGGAAGACTTATAACTCAGTGATTTAGTCGAAATCCAGCTGAGGTATGTGTGATGGGGAGGAGACAAGGATGACCCCCGTTTCTAAACTTCAATGAGGGTAGGAGGTTCCCCAGACTACAAAACATGAGGACCTTTCACTGGGTGGTTGGGGGCATTGACGGAGTATGTGCAGTGCAGGAGGCCTGGGGGGACCCCAGGGGAAGATGTCCAGGCTGCAGCTGGATTCTTGGGGATGCAGCTGAGGAGAGCTGACAGACTGAGGCTAGACCAGGATCCTGAGGAAGGAAGACTATGGTGAGGGGGTGGGGAGGTGGGGGGGTGGCGCTGTCTCCAGAGAAATGGAGAGTGGAAGGGGCCCAGGAAGGAGCTGGAAGGCGCCGGGCTGGATGTGTACTTTCACACATGTATCTTAACATGATCTCTGGTTTTTCTTCCAGAAATAAAGGACCAGAAGTGAATGCAGGGATCAGAGCAGAGTCTCCAGTGTGTACCTCAGACTGATGGTGCCCAAGCATTTGTCCCACTCCCACCCCTGCCACCATGCTCACCCACCTGCCCACTGGGCCCTGCTGGACACGCAACAGTCCTGAGGCCAGAACGGTCACACCCAGGTCCAGTCCTGGGGTCCCTGTCCCCACTGCCATCTGACCTGGGGGGCTGTGTAGTTCATGTCTCTTGAACTCTCCTGGGAAGATCCCTTGCTGAAACTCTGGCCCAGGAGCTGAGCCTGAGAGGGGGGCTGTGGGAAGCCAGAGCTGGCCGTAGATCTGGAGCTGCAGAGCCCCTGGACCTGCATATCTACCAGCACATACTAGAGCCTGCACCCCTTGCATGGAGGCTGGGCCTCTACTTGGTGACCCGTGCCTCTGCACTGACGGAGAACACCGGCTCTGACCTCTCAGTCAGTGCCTGGTCTGGAACCTGATCAGCTCCATGGAGGTGTATCGGAGGGGGCCATCTGGGCCCAGCTGTGTACAGCGAGGCGGGAGGCCTCCACCAAGTCGGCTCCTGAGAGCTGGAGTCTGTTTCTGTTTATATGTGCAGGCCCCAGGGGGTTGAAGCGTCAGAGAGAAAGGAACACAAGGGGCAGGGAGGAGGGGCGAGGCAGAACCCTCTTTGCCTGGGGGAGACACTGGGCTGCCTGCCTCAGCTCAACTCCCTTTCCAAACTCAGGTTTCCGTGTCCTTAGCAAATGACTGGGTGGTGCCTGGTCCACCAAGCAGAGGTCAGATTTGCTATCCATGTCCCTGGTGCCTGAGACACCGGATGTCCTTAGGTCCCTGACCACTATGCTGTTCCATCCTGCCTGGTGTGCAGCCATCTGAGTCTCCTGGATCCTTGGCCTCACTTTTTGCCCATTTCCTCCATACACACGCATCCATGAGCCAAAAAGATGTCACTAAGGATGGCTGTCACCCAAGGGCACTTACCCCCTCTTCCCGCTTCTCCCTGGAAGAATGCATCTCTCTGTGGGTCTCCTGTCAGATGGTAGGAAGACAGCAGTTTGATTGACAGGAATTTCCTCTTACTCAGCTTTTGTTCCTTTGGCAAAAACTAGCTAGGCATAGCAGAAAATAGCAAGTAAAGAACTGTCTATATGTCTTCTCCCCTTCTTGAGAGTGTACCAAGTGATGATTTTACATGTAAACCAAGACTCACATCCCTGTCCTGGTCCCCAGAATTTCCCCCTCCTCCTGCCTCATAGTTTAATGGTCTCCTCATTCTGCATCCCCTTCTCTCAAGCTTCCTCCCACCCTCTTGCAGTTTCTGGAAGGGCCCTGAGAAAAACGAGTTGGGGGTGCTCTGGCAGGGGCAGGGCCCTGTACCCACCTGCTGACATGCTGCCTGGTAGAGAAATAAAAGTGGTGTGCCTGGGGCAGTGGAGGGTGGCCAGTGTCTGTTTTCTGGAGTATGGGTCCACCTGGGGTCCACCGCTCCATCCCTCAGCAAAGCAAAGGTCTGAAGCTCCTGCATCAACCAACATCTGTCTCTTCTTCCAAGACAAGGCTTTGGAGAGGCACTGAATTCCAGAACCACATCTCAAGCGAATCCTCACTCTTGCTTCTCCTGTGGACAGCACTTGACAGTTTGAACACATTCAAAGGCCTTTTAAGAATGTTATGATCTACATGTCACTCCCAGCATGTCACCAAAGCCCTGAGGCAGGATTGGGTCTGGAACCTGAATATTGAGAGCCTCTTGCACATCGTAGAGGCTCCCCCATCCCTGGCAGTTTTGTAGGTCTGTGACACTCCCTAAAAAGTCCCATGACTCTTTTGCTCTGTTTCCCTCCCTTCAATCCTTAGGATCCCATTCATCCATGGTGCTAAGCCCTGTTCAAATGGGTCTCCCATCTCCCCAAGGCTTCCCTCAGATCACAGGACCCTGAGGCCTCTGTGGCTGCTTGAGATGACCTAACCTGCCCAGGTGGCCCTGCCTTTCTGGGGGCAAGGCTCTCAAAAGGGACTAGCCATGTCCGTTGTTTCTTTGATCTGGAGGGAGGACATATCACTAAGTTTTGGTATCTAATCCTCAGCTCACCTGGGAAGGACACTCAGGCCCTGCCAATGAGACCAGAGGCAGGACCCACTATACAATTTGCAGGGCCCATCACAAAATGCAAACATGGGTCTCCTTGTTCAAAAATGAAGAATTACAGTGACATCAGAATATTACGCCAAGTGCCAGACCTTTCTGTTTCTGAGCATAGGCCTAATGCAGTTGCAGAGGCTGCATGTCCATGACTGGAAAAGACAGACCTGCCTTTAGGGGCTTCTAGGGTTTTTTTCCAGGGAGTGAGACAGGATGGGTGAAAGAAGTCTTTCCACAAGGGCCATCTATAAGACCTCTCGGACACAAAACCTTTTTCATACTCCTCATCTCCCAGGGTCTTCAGCAGGCCTGTGAGATGAGCCAAGAGGTGTTACGACTCCATCTGATCTCTGAGGAAACCAAGGCCCAGAAAGGTGATGTCTTGCCCAAGGCCTTTTGAGGACCTGACCATTGCGGCAGACAGGCAGGGTGTGGGGCTAAGACAGGCTGAGGGGACTTTTGTTGTGCCAGCTACAATCTTCCCAGAAGCCTCTGGGGCTCCATAGCTAAGCCTACATTGCCTCCACCCCCACCCAGGCCTGCTCAAGTCCAGCTCTATCCGGCCCACAGCATGGAGTCCGCAGGCCAAGATGGGGCGGCCAAGGTAAACAGAGAGGTTTCCTTACCTCGCAGCTGCTCACCCAGGAGGGAATTCCAGGGCAAGCCCTGGCACACTCCTCTCTGGCAGCTGCCAAAATGCCCGTGGGTTCCTCTGCCCCTCCAGAGACCAGGACTTCATGCTCCCCAGGCCCCCCATCCTCCACCCCTCACAGTGGAGGGAGAGACCATGTTGGAGCTGTGTTAGGAGAAATGGGGGAGAAACTCAGACACAGGGAAGAGAAAGGAAGACACGTGTCCATGAAGACCTGGCTTGGGTGTCTGTCACATCTTTTCTCATTATAGGGCCCAAAAGTTCACCTGTGATATGTCCATACAACAGAGTACTCCTCAGCAACAAAAGGAAACAAATTACTGATAGATTTAACAACAGGAAGGAAACTTAAAATCACTGTTGAGTAAATATAAGCCAAAAAAAAAAAAAAAAAGCTCATCTTATGTGATTCCACCCCATTTCTACAAAGTTCTAGAAAAGGCAGGACAAATCTGCAGTGACAAAGCAGATCTGTGACTGCCTCGGCCTGGGTGCTTGGGAGAAATTGACTGCAAAGGGGCAGGAGGGAACCTTCTAGAAATGATGGATTGCAGGGATGGGGGAGGGGGCTCCACGCATTTGTCAGAACTCATCAAACCTTGTGTCTAAAAATAGGTCCATTTTATTATATGTGAATTGTACTGCTACCTAGTTTGATTTAAAGTGCATGAATAAATAAAAAGATAGGAGCTGGAGAGGCAGGTTGGTGTGTGTCCCGCATGGGGGTGCTGGGGCGTCCAGTGGAGCTGGGAAGGAGATGGAGACTCCTGAGTGAAGTGGAGAACAGACCTCAGCCAGCCCCAGGGGCTCCTTTCTTTCAGCAACTCGAAGAGTCTGGGACCCGAGGGGAAACAGCCCTGAGGGATGGAGAACAAACAGGGTCCTTGAACACTGGGCAAGATGGCTCCCAGCCTGGTCATGGCCCACACATAGTAAGGGGAGCGGCTGTACAAGTCCCAACACTGGGGAGAAGCCACCCTGGGGACCACAGCTGTGCCCCAGGCCTCCACATAGATGACTGCCTTCCTGCCGCCTCCCCTTGATAGTCTGTTAGGCTGCCCCAGGTCCCTGCTCAGTGCTGTTTGAGAGGCTGCTTGGAACTGTGGGACCCAGGACAGCCAGGCAGGCCTGACGGCATGAGAGTTGGACTAAGGTGTTGGGACCCTTGGGACCTGGGTGGGTAAGGAGAGCAACTGGAGCCTGGTGCACACCCTCTTGAGGGTTCAGGCTGGCCTCCAGACCTGGGCAGTGGCTCCAGGATGGGCACCGGCCCCCTCCATGCACCACAGAGCCGCTAAATTTAGCCAGGCAGGGGAGGCCATCCTGGGGCCGAGTGCTTGGCAGCAGGGTTTTGTCTCCCTACAAGGCCCGGCCCAGTACCCGAGACGGCCACCCGGCCTTTGGGCTTATAAGGCAGGCTTGGCGGATCTCAAGTGCCGGAGTCTTTAAGTGGCCCTGGGCCAAGCCCTCAGACTTTGGGGAACCTCCTTTTCAGTCATCAGCAGACATGGAAACTACTTGTTCTGTGACCTTGGGCCAGGGACTCAACTGCATCTGTAAAATGGGGATTCTGGTACCTACCTCTTAAGTCTGTGATAGAAAACCCTGCTTAGTGTGTGAAATTCTAACCTCTGCCCGCCCACCCATGTTCCCATTATGCCCAGAACAAACACAGGTGTCTGTCCCTGAAGATGCTGGATGGAATTGTGGCCAAGGGTGAGAAAGATGCTCCCCTCTGAGCATCATTTGCAAAATTAGGCATGATATACACATGGACCCCATCAGCTGGCTGTCTTACTCTCTCTTAGCAAGAAAAGAAATTTAGGTTTTTGGTCACACTTTTTGGATTTGCTAATTTCTCCAAATGAGCTTGTCTTCCATGACAGTCTTCTTTTGAAGGTCAGCGCCAATGCCCAGGCTGTAACAGAAGCACATGTGTGCAGGATGTGGTTCTTGCTGTCCATCTGTCCATCTCCAAGCCTGGCTCCTTAGAGGAGGAGGAGGGAAGGAAGAGGAGGAATAAGAGAAAGAAGAGGAGAAAAATGAGGGGGAGGAGGAAGAGGAGGAGGAGAAGGAAGAGGAGGAGGAGGAGGAGAGAAGGGTAAGGGATTAGACGATGACTGCCTGCCTGACTCATTTCCTCCCTCCCTCCCTTCCTTCCTTCCTTCCTTCCTTCCTTCCTTCCTTCCTTCCTTCCTTCCTTCCTTCCTTCCTTCCCTCCTTCCCCTACTCCCTCACTGCCTGCTCCTCTCCGGAACATGGCATGGGTGTCAGGGAAAAGGCTGGGTACAGAGGGGCATAGGAATGGCTCAGCCTCAGCACATACCCACTACTGTCACACACTGCTAGTGTTCTGGGGCCTCCTAGACCAATGACCTTGGGTCAACTGGGAGAGGGGTAGGGCTTTTTGTTTGGGGTCAAGACCAGGCCAAGGGGATATGCCGCCAACCACAGCTCTGGCTCCAAGAATCTCTGGATCTTTTTCCTTAGAAAACTGCAGGATGTGGTTCTTGCCAACTCCCCTTGAAGGTGGCGACGAACAGTTGAGCCCTGAGCTCTCTATCCCCACTGGATCGGCAACAGCTCTGCATGTGGTGAGGCTATTCTCCTTCACGAGGAGGGATGGGCCTGAGCTGTGGGCTTGCCTTCTTTGGGAGCCTCTTGCTGTCCAGAAAGCAACCCTGCTCATGCTGGTTCTGGGGGCAGCCAGGATTCCCAGCCCCAGGGCCTGGCTCCCCGCCCAGAGCAATTCCCCAGCTAGTGGCCTGCCAGGAAGAAGATTCCTTATCAGCCCTGTGGGGTGGGGGGTGGGGGCATCCTGGACAGAGTTCTTGAGGTAAGGGCTGGCTGGGAGGCCCCTGCTTCAAGCTTGAACCTCCAATACTGCCCATGGAGAGCTTAGGACACTTATCTCTCCCCTCTGAGCATCATTTGCAAAATTAGGCATGGGGTAAGGAAGTCTCCAGCTCTGGGGTCTGGGGCCCCAGATTCAGTGCCAGAATTACTGTTGGGGAGGGGAGAGGCTGCAGAAGGGCCAGACTCCAAACTCAACAGTGTCCTCAAGACCTCTGTCCTCAGTGTTGTCAGGACCCATCCCCCAGGGATGGGTCTCAACCTCTGAGACAAGTACCATTATCATCACTCCCTCTACAGATGAGGAAGCAGGCTCAGAGAGGCGAGGCCACGCTCCTGATCCCCACTGCCAATAAGTGGCAGACCCAGGGATGTCTGAGGATGTCTGCTGGGACTTCAGGCCCCATGGCAATGTGTGACCAAGGGTGGTCCTTGCTTTGTCTGGGCATCTGCCTCCCTCTCTCTCCATCTGCTGGTCACGAATTGGGGTGTGGAGAGGTCAGGAGGTATGGCCAGGGCAGGACAGAAAGAAAGGGGAAGGTGGTGAGGGGAGGTACCAGCCTAAAGCTGAAGCTGGTTGGGCACAGTGCAGGCTCAGCACAGGGACAGGTGGTAGCAGGTGGTGCATTACGACAGGGCAGGCAGGCTCAGCAAGTGTCAGGCAGCGGGAACTGAAGTGCTCTCTGCTTCTCCCCATAGGCCCCAGTGACCGAGTTGCCCTCCTAGGGGTAGTGTGCAGGTGACATTGTGTGGGGCTGCGGATGGTCTCTGACTTTGAGGGTGTTCTAGTCTGACCCCACCCCAGCTTCCCCCCAGGGTCTGGCCAGATCCTCCAGCTCTGTCCTGACAGGTTCTGGGGGTAGGTTGGGGGAAGTGATAGATTTATCTCTGCTCCTGTGTGACTGGTGGCTGGTGGTTTCCGGCCAACAGCTTCTGTTTCCGGAGGCCCAGCAGGGCCCAGGCGGAGCCATGAGGGGCTGTGGGGCTGGGCCTGGGTGGCCCCATCAGCCCCGCCTCTGTCTATCTTTGGGAATTTATTTGTCACGGGCACTGCTGGCCTGCAGTCCATTGCCTGCCAGGGGCCCAGAGTTGTTCTGAGCACCCAAGGATTCTCCCTCTCAACCCATGCATCTCTCCAGCTGACCTCTGACTCCTGACCTCTGGCCTCACCTACCCTGCTCTGCTCTCTCTAAGGGGGTGAGAAGCCCTCAGGAGCTCTGCCGCTGTAGACGTGGGTGTCCTAACAGCAAAGGTGTGCAGGGGGCTCAGTCCTGAACCCCAACCTGGCCCACCATGGCACGGAGGCTGCAGGATAAGCTGGCTGCCTTTTTCTTCGAGTATGACACCCCCCGAATGGTGCTGGTGCGCAACAAGAAGGTGGGCATTGTCTTCCGGCTGATCCAGCTTGTGGTTTTTATCTACGTCGTTGGGTGAGTCTGGGACCCCTCACCACCACCTTCACGCAGAAGCCCCCAGCCTGGCTCTGTCCTCCCAGATCTGGGATGCTCTCCTTGATGCCAAGGAGCCCTCTTTCTCTCCATCCATCCGGAAGCCCTCCTGGTCAGCCGCTTTGCCGTTTAGTTAGAGGGAAAACGTTGCTAACTCACTGTCAGGATGGGGATGCTGGGGCAAGAGGGGTCACCCTGCCTGGGGCACATGGAGGTTCTGAGGAACTGACTCGGATTTGAGTTCCTTCAAGTGGTGAGTGGCTTTCACGGCCAGGGCTTCTTCTACCTCTGACCTCCCACCAAACCAGACACTACTACTGAGACGGAGGCCATATCCTCTTTCACAGGCCAGAGATGGACAGGCTCTGCTCCCACCTTCCCTGTCTAAATTAGGGTTATCCTAAGATATCTGAGGCCCTGGGAGCAGAGAAACCCTCAAATTCTGAACACCTGGTATCTGAATGGTGGAGGTCAGCTCTGCTCCCGGGGATGGGATGACAGCTCAGCTCCTTTCTGGGCATCTCTGGACTTGTCCTACTGAGCCAAGGGTACAGGGTGGGGCCAGGTGGGATTCCTTCTGTCATCTGACTGGGCTGGGCACCATGCAGAGGCCATTTTCCTAAAGTCAGTCTGGCTGTCCTAGAAGTTAAGACAGGTCTGGCAGGAGCTTGCACATGTGTGCCGCAGGGGCACATATGCCTGTGTCATGTAGATGCACGTGTCCTACCCAGAGCTCTGTGTCCGTGTCCATGTTCCAAGTATCTGGGTGGGTGCCCATGGGTATGTGCCCTGGCTGTGTCTGAGTCTGACTGATGCTTGTCCCCTGTGTATGGTATATCATATCCACTCACATGACTGCAGGGGGTTCCTAGAGCCCCTGGAACCCTGAAGGAGGTACCTCCTGCTGGGGACCTGGGGACCCAGAAGCCCTAGCCTGACTGTGATGTGTGATTCTGAGGGATCTACCCATCCTTCATTTTTGTTGTGGCTCTATACTGCCAAGTGGGGCCCAGGGTGGGTTGACCGGAGGCCCAAACAGTGGTCACATAGTTCTGGTCCCCCCAAAACTTCGGGCATCCCAAATAGTCTCAGACCTGATCAGATGGGGCTGAGGCCAGGACCCCCTGGTGTCTTTTGGCCTCTGCCTCCCTCTTGTTCACAAACCAATTTGACATCTTCGATATTGGTTGAGCTTGCAAGGGAAAGTGAGGACCAGAGAAGAGCCGAGGGGTTTCCAGGTCACACTGCAAGTCAGTAGCAAGGCCAAGCTTAGGACTTAGACCTCCCCCCCCAACCCGGGCTTCTGCTTGCCCTTCTTTCCCAGCATCACAAGGCCGCTGCAGAACTTTCTAATGGGTACTGATGGCAGAGCACCAGGCACGGACAGATCTACAAGCCCACTGTCAGCTTCACTCCTGACCCTCCAGGGAAGAGAAATCACTCCCCAAAGTCCAGCCTGACATTCACCAGAAAAGGCTGGGGGAAGGTCACCCTCACTCTGGCCCGAGGGCTCCCCATTCTGTTTTCAGATCAGGCCCTGTAAGCAGCACCAGGTTCCTCTTGTGGGTTAGGCACAGATTGTCAAAGTTTGAGGGACAGTATATGTACCTGCTGCAGGGTGTGCCCCAGCTGCCATCCAAGCTTGAACAGATACTTTTCAGTGATGAGGATCTCACTACTTCCTTCCTTTGCTATCTTCCCTCTCAGGACAGTCTATTCAGTTTTCAAATAAACATGGTCCTTCTCAGTGTCCGTGGGGCTCACCAGCACAGGGATCTAGCTGGCCCTCAGCTAGAAAGAGGCTAACCAGGATCTGAACCAGGTGCATGGCTCTAAAGACAGTCAAATATCCTGGAAAGGAAGCACCCAAGAGAGGGGCACTGAAACACCCGAGATTGCCCTCCATTCCTGCCTTGCCCCCAAGACCACGCCTCAGCTCTGCTTCGCTTGGGCTGCGGCTCCTGCTGTCTCTGTCGCCCTCATCTGGCCACCTCCCAGTGCTGCACTGACCCTCGCATCCAGGAGGTCCCAGCCGCAGACAGAAGCCCTGATGCAGCCTAGACTTAGTCTTGGCATCTCAGGCCTCAGTTTCCCAACTGTCCCATGGGCAGGAGCTGGAGGGGACGACTCTCTCTTAACTGAGGATGATGAGCTTTGGCTTGAGCACCCTCCCTTTCTGTCTGAGTGCGTGGTCCCATGAGCACTGCAGGACAGACGGAGAGAACACGGGAGGAGACTCAGATCCCCAGGTCCCAGGGGTGGCAAAGCATGGGAGGGGGGTGGGTAGGCACAGACGGAGCTGAACAGGGGACAAACATTGGAGCACAACTCAGATGCAGGAGACCCTGAACCTTAGGGATAGAGTTACTGAGGCAGAGGCAGAGAAGCTGAGCAGCTGAGAACTGGAACAGGTCCACAGGTCTCCACTGGGCATGCTCTTCTAGGAGGTCCAAGCAGGTGGAGGGGACCAGTGGGCTTCAGGGTCTGGAAGGCTGGGCCTCTTTTGGCTTACAGTAAGGTGGTCTCACAGATACTGCTGTTTTCTGAGAGATGAAATTTCTGTCACTGGAGGTATATGGTATCGTTACTATGCAGGTATGTCCTAGGGGCATGCTGGGACATTCCTGTCTAGGGAGGTCTGGCTGGAGGAGGAGAAGGATGCTGGCTGAGGTACACAGGAGGGTCCCCAAGAGGATCTCCCCCTCTTGGGGAGGGGTTCCTAAGAGGCCTCCCCCAGCCATGGACAAAAGGCCTGCGGCTGTAGGCTGGGCAGAGTTGGTCTTGGCTCTCTTTCTGGCCCCTCTGGGCCTCTTCTCACTAGAGTCCTCACTTGTCCCTTGTACCTCTATGCAGAGCTCTTAAAATCAAGTGGTCAGCCGAGCATGGTGGGGCACACCTGTAATCCCAATGGCTTGGGAGCTTGAGGCAGGAGGATCATGAGTTCAAAGCCAGCCTCAACAACTTAGCGAGGCCCTAAGCAACTTAGTGAGACTCTGTCTCAAATAAAAATTTAAAAAGGGTGGGGATGTGGCTCACTGGTTAAGCACACCTGGGTTCCATCCCTAGCACCATAAAAACAAAGCAAGACAAAACAAAACAAAAAACAGGTGTTTAGAGATCACAAAGTGGATCACAGAGTGTACAAAACTGAGAGAAGGACAGATACAAATTATGGTCACAAGGAGTCACACAGGGGCTATTTCTGCAGCATCTTCTCCATTCTGAGTGCTTTGCCAGGGGCCTGAGGCAGGACACAGTGGGGGCAGAGGGAAAGAGAAGAGCTGAGGATAGGTTTGCCAGAACTACTTTAGTTCTCACAAAATAAACTCAAACTGGTATAGAAGGCACGATGATTTGGGTTTTTTTTTTGGGGGGGGTGGGTACAGGGGATTGAACTCAGGGACACTCGACCGCTGAGCCACATCCCCAGTCCTATTTTGTATTTTATTTAGAGACAGGGTCTCACTAAGCACCTCGCTTTTTGCTGAGGCTGGCTTTGAATCTGTGATCCTCCTGTCTCAGCCTCCCGAGCCACTGGGATAGTGTCTGGCAAGGGTGGGGTATTATATAAATTATATAAATAATATATAATTGATATATTATTTATATAATATAATTGAAAGATCATTTGGGACTTCAGGCCTGGATGGACCCTCTATGACAAGAACACAGAGGGGTAAATTCTATGGGGGAAATGAGGAATCCAGTTTGGTCCAATTTTGGTTCTCAAATGATGCTATCCAGGATCTGGCGCTGCTTTCTTCTGAGGAGGCACCGTGCTCAGGCACCATGGAGGCATCAGGCAGGCTCTCTATCCTCATGGTGGCAAAACGGCAGATCCACGCTGACATCCCCACAGGTTAGCTACTCCCAAGGTGCAAGAGCATCTCCTTCCTTCAGGGTTCGGGCAAAAGTCCCAGGTCCAACTCTTAGGGGGGAGGGGGTTGGGACATGTGCCCCTCCAAGAACTGATCATTGTGGTCAAGAAAATGGAATGTCCTGATTGGAGGGGCCTGGTTGTGTGCCCACACTTGGTTCAGGCTCTTCTGTGGGGTAAATAGTTCAGGTTGGGCCAGTTGAATTTTTATTTATTTATTTTTGGTCTCAGGGATTGAACCCAGGGATACTTAACCACTGAGCTAAGACTCCCCAGTAGACAGGGTCTTGCTAAATCACTGAGGCTGGCTTCCAATTCTCTATCCTCCTGCCTCAGCCTCTCAAGTCGCTAGGATTTCAGGCATGGGCCACTGTGCCTGGCTGGGCCAATTGAATTTTTGTGGTTAGTACTTTGTAGCTAGTACTTTGCATTTGGATTGATTTCATATACCATAATATTCCCCTTTAAATTAATTAATTAATTTTAGGTGCTGGGAATCGAACCCAGGTCCTTGCATGTACTAAGCACACAATCCACCACTGAGCTACATCCTCGCTTCATCCCTTTAAGAAATACAATTCTGTGGTTTTAAATATTCATGAAGTTGTGCCTCCAGCACCACTATAATTTCTCTAACATTTCATTCCTCCAAAAAGAAATTCTATACTCCTTTAGTAATCACCCCCCTTTTCCCTTTCTCACAGCCAGCTTTGCCTATTCTGGGCATTTCGCATAAATAGAATCATGACACATGCCCTTTTACGTCTGGTTTCTTTCTCTTACCATAATATTTTCAAGGTTCATCCATGTCGGTTGTAATTTGTGCCTCTGCTGCATTCCTTTTTATGGCTAAATAATATTCCATTGGAGATATCACGTTTTGTTTAACCACTCATCTGGGGACAGATATTTGAATTCTTTCAATTTCTTGGCTCTTATGAAAAATGCTGTCCTACGGGCTGGGGATGTGGCTCAAGCGGTAGTGCGCTCGCCTGGCATGCGTGCAGCCCGGGTTCGATCCTCAGCACCACATACAAACAAAGATGTTGTGTCCGCCGAAAACTAAAAATAAATAAATAAATATTAAAATTCTCTATCTCTCTCCCTCTCTGTTTAAAAAAGAAAAAAGAAAAATGCTGTCCTAAATATTTGGGTATTAGTGTTAACATGGATTTTTTTTGGGGGGGGTACTGGGGATTGAATCCAGGGACACTTTACCACTGAACCAAACCCCCAGCCCTTTTATCTTTTATTTTGAGACAGGTCTCACTAAGTTGCTGAGGCTAGCCTCAAACTTACGATCCTCCTATCTCAGCCTCTCCAGTCTATGGGATTACAGGTGTGAGCCCTTGTGACAGGCTGGATATATGTTTTTATTTCTCCTGGGTAGGTACCTACTAGTGGGATTGTGTCAAATGGAATCGGTGTGTAACTTTTAGAGTCACTGAAGGACTGTTTTGCAAAGGGTCCAGTTGCAGGTGAGGTACCTGTGAGATGTCTGGGGAGGGGAGTCACCAATCGACTGGAGCCTTGACTTGTACATAGGCTTCTTGAGTATACGATTTTTATTTTGTTCACTTGCCTATTTTTGCCTAGACAGTACTTGGCGCACGATATGGACTCGAAACATAAATGTTTGTTGAACGACTAAATGGATGTGCAGAACTGAATCTTGGGGTGAGCAGAGATCTGGAGACAGGAATCTGGGGACAACAAAATTCCAGGTGTCACGTGTCTTTGACAGCTCACACAGGGCTCTCCCACAACTGAGAATGGAAGCCAGGGAAAGAGTATGGCTGCACAGGGAAAGGAAACGAGTGAAGGAGGACCAGAGACAGTGGGAATAAGAGATTTTAGTTTTTTAAAAATATTTTATTAGTTGTTAATAGATCTTTATTTATTTATATGTGGTGCTGAGGATCGAACCCAGTGCCTCACACATTAGCATGTAAGGTAAGCACCCTACCACTGAGCTATACTCCCAGTCTGAGATTTTAGTTTTAATGAGTCTCTGCTGTGCCAGACCCAAAGCTCATTTCCTTAATGAGAACTCACAGAAACTTCCCCCAATTACCTACATGCCTTTGCTTCAGGGGCCCACCCCAGGACTGAGTACATGGCTTCGCTAAATATTTGTTGAATGAACAGCATCTTTGAGGTAGTGCCATCACCTCTGTTTTATGGAGAAAATCAGGACTCAGAGAAGTTTAGTCTGTAGGCTGAAGCAACACAGCTGATAAAAGGCAGGGTTTCTATGGGAATCCGAGTCAATCGCCATTTCCTCTTCTACCAAAAGAAAAGCTGGAGAAGAGAGCCCCCAGAGAGGTGGAAAAATTGGAAAAGATTATTTCTGGAAGGGAAGGAACTTCTGAAGGTGCCAGTGTCTTTGGTTTCAGACCTCCTTGGTGGCCTTCTCAGGGTGGTGACCATAGGCCAGGTCAAGGCATGGTTGTGGAGGGGCAGGGCTGGCGCCATGGTCATTCTATTATTACCAGAACTGAGGTCATTAATGCCAGAGTTGACTTTTTCTTTTGACCCTCAAGACCAGCAGCCCTAGGGGCAGACAGAGGAAACTCTGCTTTCGTTGCATCTTGCAACCTGGCCCGGCTCCCGGGAGTCGCATTGGTGCCAGTGTGGCTCAGTGGAGGGAAGCAGAGCCCGGGAGCTGCCTCCTGCCTGGCCTCTGAATTTAGGGAGGGGCACTTCCCCAGGCCTCAGTTTCCCCATCTACCATGTGGGGAGCTGGTATTGGGCAAAAAGAGAAATACCGTTGGGATGTTGGGATGGGGCTCCCAGAGGGAAGCCAGTGACTTTCCTGCAGGAGGGCTTAAAATAGGGAGCAGCTCCCCCATCCTCCACAACAGCTCCTTCAAGTTTGGGTGCAGAGCCAGAGGCCTTCCTAGGGGAAGGCTGAAGGAGGGTGGGTGGGTGACGTCCCTTCTTCCTGATGCTGCTGGAGGCAGTGTTCCGGCTCAGGACGCTATTGGAGGGCCTTTGTCATGCCTCACCTGATGCAGTCTGAGACCTGCAGGGGGCAGCAGTGACCACGCTTAGGCTTGGCCAGGAGTGGAGTGGGGGATGTCGGGGAGAAGCTTGGTGCTGATGCAGGCTGGGAGAGGGATTTGGAGAAGGAAGGGTGCATTGTGTGGGGACAGGAGGGACCTTGGTGAGCTGCCTCACTGGAACTGAGAGCCCTGGAGGTTCTGTCATCAGGCTTGAACTCTGGGGAACAGGACGGGGGAGTAGAGGGCCTGAGCTTGCTTGACAGAGGTGAGCTTGACAGGTGAGGGACGGAGGAGACATAACACATCTACCTCCAGGTGGATGCAGGTTTTCTTGGAAGTACACAGCTACGTACTCTAACGGGTCTCTCTCAGACGCATGCACACATCCACACAGTACCCTCACTCCTGGAAAGAAGCATTATCCAGAAACCAAACTCAACCTGGTTTACATAAAGGCAGGGAACTGATCAGCTTATGCAACTGAACAGACCTTAAGTAGATTTTTCCAAGTGTGCTTCAGGCCTGCTGGATCCAGGTCTAAAACAACATTGTCAGGAATCTGTCCCTTTTCAATTCCTGTCTTAGCCTTCCTCAAAGGTGGCTTCATTTTCAAGGTTGCTCTTTCTTTGAAGCAGCCAAGATGTCTTTGAGGTTTTGATCTTGCTTCCACCCTGCTTAGTCCCCGGGCAGAGAGGGTATTTCTTTCCCAATAATTCTCCCCCTGAATCCTGGCTTCATTGCTGATACTCCCCTGGTCACATGCCATCCATCACTGCTGCCAGGGAGATGAAATATTGATTGGTGAGTGTTGGCCATGTGCCCACCCCTGGGGCTCGGAGGGAGGTCAGCTTCACCCAACCTCTCAGACTAACAGTGTCAGCACAAAGGGACAGTGGTTCTCAATTTTGGGAATGGAAGGCCAGAACCTCTCCCAAAAAAACCAGGAGACCTCCAGACTGAGCCATAAGGGCGAGGCTAGGGGGCTGGATTCTTTAAGTCCTTCAAAGGGTCATGTCCCCATGCCCACTGTTCCCCCTCCCAGGGGATCCCAGCCTGGCTGAGATGATGATGATGATGATGATGATGATGACGACAACGACAAATAATAATAATAATAATAATAATAATATCTATATAGCTTTTATTCTGTAGCAGTCCCCAGTGTTTTTTATGCATTGACTCATCTAACACAAATTACAAGCACTATTATTATTCCCGTTTTGCAGAGGAGGAAGGGGAGGCACAGGAGGACTGGATAGCTTACCCCAAATCACACAGCCAATGAGGAGTGGAGCTGGGGTTCAAATCCAGGCCACTGGACACCAGTGGCCAGACTCAGAGCCATCATGCTGTGTCAGGCACAGCACAGGAAAGGAGGGGCATTCTGGGACAGAGGATTGGAGGTCCCAAGGGCTGGCCCACAGGTACACCCTGCTCCTGGAATCTGGAAGGTCTCCTCCCTGGGATGCTCTGAAAAGATGGTGGAACTTCAGGCTCGGGCCAGCAGGGGATGGCAGGTGGGCTGTTCTGCCTCCGGTCCAAGAGCTTCTGAAGCAGAGAGTGGATCAGAGAGGCATCTGGGGAGGGCAAACAGAAAGCCATGACACATCCAGCAGGTGCCAGAAAGGAGAGAAGCCCACAGAGCTGCTGCCATCCTTGGCCCACCCAGCTGTGCCCAGGACCATAAGTCCCCTGTGTCCCTGCAGGTGGGTATTTGTGTACGAGAAGGGCTACCAGACCTCAGGGGGCCTCATCAGCAGTGTGTCTGTGAAGCTCAAAGGCCTGGCCGTGACTGAGCTCCAGAGCAAACTCCAGGTCTGGGACCAGGCCGACTACGTCTTCCCAGCACAGGTGAGCCACCTCGGGGCCACACCTTCCACCCTCAGGGCCTGACTTGGTGGGCTCTGTCCCTCTCATGGAACCAGCCCAGCTCCTTCCTCTCCCTAGGCCTCAGTTTCCTGAACTATGAGCCTGGTACTATCACCCCATGTGACATAATGGGGCGTGGAGGCTGCTGGGCTCCAGGGGCATATAGGGGCCGTGTTTGGGTTCTAGGAGCTATTGTGCCAGATCCCAGCCCTGTTCTTCATTTCCAGGGGGACAACTCCTTCGTGGTCATGACCAATTTCATCATGACCCCCCAGCAGGCTCAAAACTACTGTGCAGAGGTGAGGATTTCTGCTTGCCCCCTTCTTGGATCCCCCACAAAGGAAAATAACATGGAAGAGGAGTCCCCTTGGGCACTGGAGATGACATGGGACAGACTTCCTTTAGTCACCCAATGGTAGAATGTCAGGCATAGATAGAGTCACACAAAGTAGCCATCCACCATTGGCAGTGCCAAGCCTTCCACCTGGCTTTGTGCCCAGCAGGATGCCATGTCTGAGTACCACCTCCTTTCCCCCACACCCTCTCCACCCCTTGCCAGCTCACATCAGTGATAGGCAGCTGGGCATGGACCCGGAGTGGTGGGGACTGGGAGAAAGAGGCTGTGAGCGCGGGTCACCCCCAAGATTCTGAGAGTCCACCCATGCCTGCCAAAGGCCCCAGGGATGGGAGGGGTTCTTCTCAGGACCATACCCCAGAGGCCTAGGCCCAGCAGCTTTCTCTTCTCCCAGAACCCCGAAGGGGGCACGTGTAAGAACAATAGTGGCTGTACCCCAGGGAAGGCAAAGAGGAAGGCCCAAGGTAAGCTCAGCCTCTTCTTAGTACCTCTGTGGGCCCCTCTCCAGGGCCTGTGCCCTCCAGCCCGCTTCTCTCCACACCCTGCCCATGTCTTGCTCTCTCTCTCCTGTCATCCTGGCCTGGCTGCCTGCCCCAGACCCAGCCCTATTTCTGTCCTCATAGTCCTCTTTGTCAGTGTCCCATCACAGGGAGCTCCCGTGGGAGGGACCTGAGAGGCCTCCTCTACACCCGTAGCTTGGAGTGGGCACCAAGGGGCTCCTCCCTCACCCTAGGCATCCGCACGGGCAAGTGTGTGGCCTTCAACAGCACTGTGCAGACGTGTGAGATCTTTGGCTGGTGCCCCGTGGAGGTGGATGACAACATCCCAAGGTAACCAATGCCCTGTCTTTCCAGGGACTTGGGGGCAGGGTCCCAGCCCAGATGCAGGGGCAACTGCATCTGGAATGGATTTGGTCAGCATTCTTTTGACCCTGTCCTGACCACATCCATGTGACTCGGGCCAAAGCCCCCCCTCCCAGCCCCGCCCCACCTATGCCAGGCTGTGGGAGCAGCTGGGTGTCCTCCGTCCCCAGCCCTGGGGTCGTGCGGGGCACTCCTGGGGAGGGGCGGTGTGTGAGTGCAGTCTCCCCCAGCCCTGCCCTTCTCCGAGAGGCCGAGAACTTCACCCTCTTCATCAAGAACAGCATCAGCTTTCCACGCTTCCAGGTCAAGAGGTGCGTGGGAAACGTGGGCAGCGCTCAGGCGGCTCCTCGGGCTCTTGGGATGCTTTCAGCTGTCCCCCTCCATTGTGGCTGCTTTGGTTCTAGAGGGGGAAGCCTGGGTTGGGGTTCCTGGGATGGTTAGCAGAAGGGGCATTCTGAAGCCCTGGAGGGTTTCCAGAGCTACAGGGCAGGGTGGCCACCCTCCCAGCTGGCACATGGCTGCTACCAGTGCCCTTTGCCCCCGTAGGAACAACCTAGTGGAGGAGGTCAATGCCAGCTACATGAAGACCTGCCTCTACGACAAGAAGCTGCACCCTCTGTGCCCTTTATTCAACCTCAGCTACATAGTGCAGGAGTCCGGCCAGGATTTCAGTAGGCTGGCTGTCAAGGTATGGCAGGGGGTGCCAGGCAGAGGGGAGCACTGGCTCAGGGCAGAGTAAAGGTTTTTCAGGGTCAGTTCATCTTCCTAATCCTCCCTGGTATAGGCCCAGTATATGTATGAGTCTGTCCCCTAATACTGGGCCCCTGATGATCAGGCCTGTGTCCTCAGCAGGGCTTGGCCTAGACACGGCTCAGAAGAGGTGCCCAGAATAAAGAGATGTGGGCAGACATCACCTGGATGTTTGCTGATGTCCTGCTATTATTTTATTCTGCAGGGTTCAGGGAATGGATCCCAGTGCCTTGTGCATGCTAGGCAAGCACTCTAAAAGAGCCATACCTGCAGGGTCCTGCTATTTTTAAAATTTTAGGTAAAAAGTAGAATGAATTCCATAGCCCATGACTTTAAGAAATCTGTGTCCCGTGATACTCACAGTCCCCTGGTATTCTGAGAGAAGCAGTCTCTTATAATAGACATGGACCTGGGAGACTGGGTTCAAATCCCAGCTTTGCTCCTTAGTAGGCGGTGTGATCTCCAATGAGTGTCTTAACTTCAGTGAGCCTGGGTTTCAGCACCTGTCACGTGAGGACTCTAATAGTGCCAGTCTCCTGGGGTTGTCTCGAGTGCAAACCTGGGCCAGCCCTTCAGCACTGCCTGGCACCTGGTGAGCCTACGTCCTGTTCTCAGGTGCTCCTTAGTATTCCTGCAGTTGCCTATTTAGGAATGGAAATCTGTCCATTTTCTGTGATGTAACCATAGAACCCCACTCATGACATGCTTGACTTCAGCAGAGGTCGGGCAAACTTTTTCTTTCAAGAGCCCTTTAGTAAATATTGTCAGTTTTGCAGGCTGCATGGCCTCTGGGTCAGCTAACCAGGTCAGCTACTGTAGGGCAGAAGCACAGCGGATACTACACTAACAATGGGCGTGGTCAGATTCCACCCACAGGCCACTGGAGTTTACAATTTTTTTTTTTTTTTTTTTGGTATTGGGGATTGAACTCAGGGGCACTCAACCACTGAGCCACATCCCCAGCCCTCTTTTGTATTTTATTTAGAGACAGGATCTCCCTGAGTTCCTTAGCGCCTGGCTGTTGCTGAGGCTGGCTTTCAATTCTTGAGCCTTCTGTCTCAGCCTGCTGAGCTGCTGGGGTTACAGGCATGCGCTGCCGTGCCTGGCTGGAGTTTATATTTAAGCAACACAAATGACCTAAAAACTGAACTTGAGCCAGCGCTGAAGCGCTGCCTGTAGTCAATGTCCATGGACCCTCAGGCAGGAGAATCATAAGTTCAAGTCTAGCTTTCAGCAACTTAGCAAGATCCTGTCTCAAGGTTAAAAAAATAAAAAGGGCTGGGGTGTAGCTCAGTAGGGGACGGCCCCTGGGTTCAATCCCCTGTACCAAAAGCAAAATAGAATGAAACTCTTCCTTATTCCTAAAAATCTCCCCATTGGAAATTTGTCAGTTGCAGCCTCCTGCCATATTGCTCAGCTCCCGGCCCCCTCTTCTCTGTCCCTCCTGACTCTTGTCCTGTTGCCCAGCTTATTCCTTGCCTGGCCCAGAAGAGCTTCACTTTCTCAAGTTTTCTCTTTCCACAGATTCACTCTTTAATTCACTTTAATTCGTAACTATTTGCTTGCCTCCCATTTCATGACGAGTGCTGGAAACTCAGAAGTCAGTGACAAATGCCCAGGCAGCTCCATCCTCTTGGACCTTATAGTCTTGGAGGAGAGGGGTTAATAATGATCAAAGGAAATAAACAAATGATTACAATGTGTCAAAGTTTCCAAAAGCCAACCCAAAGAGTACAGCAGGAAGGAATGACAATGGACATATTGGTGTGGTGGTCAGGGATGCTGTCAGGCAAGTGACCAAAGGATGAGCAGAATCCAGCCTTAAGGAAAACTGGAAGCATAGCATATGCAAAGGCCCTAAGGTAGGAAGAACTTGATATATTCTAGAAATGATCAGAAAGCTAGAGTGTGAAATGTGATGAGTAGGAGGTGACGCTAGAGAGGGTGACAGGACCTTCACCCCAAAGCAGCACCCCACTGTCTTTTCTCCAGTCAAAAATGTTTCTTCAGGGGCCGGGGTTGTGGCTCAGTGGTAGAACACTCGCCTAGCATGTGCGAGACGCTGAGTTCCATCCTCAGCACCACATAAAAATAAATAAATAAAGTTACTGTGTCCATCTACAACTAAAAGAAAAATATTTAAAAAAATGTTTCTTCATGGAGTAAATGTAGGCACCAGCTCTAAGACAGACAATTTCTTGGTCCTGAAATTCCAGATCTTAAACACTTATGTTCGTTCCTTCACAGGGTGGGGTGGTCGGCATCACCATCGACTGGGACTGTGACCTGGACTGGCACATACGACACTGCAAACCCATCTATGAGTTCCACGGGCTATATGGGGAGAAAAAACTGTCTGAAGGCTTCAACTTCAGGTGCCTGCCAGGACCACATCTTTCCTTAGGGTCCTCCTGGCTTTTCTATTCCCAGAATCCCATGGGGCTGAACAAGGGTTCCCAGAGGGCAGCAGAGGATGGCTCCCATCCTGTGGGGGTGGCCAACCAGGAAGCCAGCAGGGAAAAAGATCTTTTTTTAAATATTTTTTTAGTTGTCAATGGACCTTTATTTATTTATTTATATATGGTGCTGAGAATTGAACCCAGTGCCTCACACACGCTAGGCAAGTGCTCTACCACTGAGCCACAACCCCAGCCCAGGGAGCAAGATCTTGAAGGCCTGAGTCCCCTGCCCTTTGGTCTGAGTCCCTTCGAGGCCTGGGGAAATCACTGGCAGCAGGAGTTAGGGCAGAGGCTGAGTGTGGCATTGCTAGAATGTGGCTTGTGAGTCTCCCTTTGTGAAATGTTGTGGAGATGGACCTCTGTGGACTATGGTGTCCCTGAAGCTCTGACACCCAAGACGATTTTCCATCACCTTCTCTTGCTACCTCGCCCCCTCCCCAAGGTTTGCCAGGCACTACGTAGAGAATGGGACCAACCGCCGTCACCTCTTCAAGGTGTTTGGGATTCGCTTTGACATCCTAGTGGATGGCAAGGTGAGTGTCCTGTATGAGGGGATGGCCACTGAGACACATCTTGCCCTTTGGGTATCTGTAGTTATGGATGATAAGAAGTTGGACAGGACAGGATCTGTTCAGCAGGTCTATTTCTAATGACAGGTGGGGCATGGGTGGTGTCCAGGCAGACAGTAACCATGCCTCCCTCATAATGTCCCTGGGTTCAGGGGGGCAGAATCTAGGGCAAACACAGGTCTGAGGGCTGGCAATGTAGCTCAGAAGTAGAGTGCTTGCCCTGCATGTGTGAGGCCCTGGGTTCCATTCACAGCACCAGAAACAATGAAACAAAACCAAAAAAATCTTGGGTCTACTGACCAGCAGCTGGTTCCCCATGATGAATCAGATCCCTGGGCACCAGGCAGAGTGGACATGTCATGATTGAGAAGAGAGGGCCGGGAAGACCCTTGTCCCAAGCCTGGCCTTTTCCAGCTGAGTGCCTTCTGACAGTTAACCCTTCTTTGCCCTGGGCCCTACCACCAGGCCAGGAAGTTTGACATCATCCCTACAATGACCACCATTGGCTCTGGGATTGGCATCTTCGGGGTGGTAAGTGTTGGGATCACTGGGTCACTGTGCTGGGGTCTGCCCCCACCCCCTTCTGTATCTCAGTAGCAGTAGCAAGTCCCTCATCCTCAAACTTGACTGTAATTGTCCATCCTTATTGAGCAAGCTGTCCACCATATCACCCACAGTATATTTGAGGACATCAAGGCCTAGCTGGGGTAGGATAGAGGTAGGATGGGGCTTTCTTGGTTCCCTGAAGGTCCCGAGGTGCCCTACCAGGAAACTGAGGTCTAGAATGCAGGATTCAGCCAGGGCCCTTAGTGACAAGGACAGCAGTGAGATGTGGGAAGTCCTGAACCTTCCTCCAGGTTCTGTATCTGTTTCCTTTGTTCCTTTTGCCACTCCCTGCCCTTAGGCCACCGTTCTCTGTGATCTGTTGCTACTTCACATCCTGCCCAAGAGGCACTACTACAAGCAGAAGAAGTTCAAGTATGCTGAGGACATGGGGCCAAAGGCGGTAAGAGAACTCCTTCAATTGGGCCCTTCAAAGACCTCAGGCCTGTGTGTCTGTGCTGGGTGGGGGTTAGGGGGCAGCAACTTCTGGGGCTGACCTGTATCCCCTCAATGCATATATAGGGCGAGCATGACCCAGCAGCCACCAGCTCCACCTTGGGCCTGCAGGAGAACATGAGGACCTCCTGACCCTGAGCCCTTGACTCCTGACTGGATGCAGCACTTGGCCTTGGGCTGGGGCCCTGGTGGGTCCCAGCCAAGGGCAGAAGGGTCTCCCATGCAGTGTCCTACCCTCTTAGCCAAACAGATACCATTTACCAGCAGCTTAGGATAGACCTGTGCAGTTTAGGACTCTGGCTCCAACTCTGTACCCCCCACCCCAAGAAAGCCCCACTGCAGTCTCAGTCATTCCTGGTCGAAAAAGCCTGGGGATCCTCACACATTGGTACCCCAGCTTTGTGCTTATCTCTTGGGGCCCTCATTGTCCATCTTTCTGCCTCAATTTCTCTAGATCTGTGTCCTCCAATATGGCAGTCACTAGCCACAGGTGACTATTTAACTTTAAATGAATTAAAATTCAATAAAATAAAAAAATTCAATTCCTCAATGGAACGAGTCACATTTCGACTGCTTGGTAGACACACGTGGCCAGTGACTGCCATGTTGGACAGTGCTTGTCACTGATGAAAGTTCTGTCAGACAGGTGTGCTCCAGCCCTATTTCTGCCTGGCCTCAGATTTCCTGGGGAGAATATTGACAATGCAGGTGCCTGGGTCCACCCCAGACTTCCTGAACCAGAAACCCCCATGCTGGCCACAATGATCTGTGTTGATAGCAAGAATCAAGGACATTTTGGGACCTACATTTAAGAAATGCTGTCTTAGCATTTTTTGACTCCGAGCTCTTGATTGGGACGGGGTCTGCACCAACTGGCAGGTATGGACACTGAGCAGGGTTTCAGATACCCTCAGCAAGTGTGTAGTGTGTTCACGTGCCACACAGTGATTCACGCACACACCCCCGTGTGCATGCACACCTACCTACATGTACACGGCCCTCATGTACACACCACCCACATGCACACAGCCCTGTGTTTGAACAGCTTGGGGCCCTGCAAACACAACCATCTGACACACCTACACCCTCAAGCAGAGACACATGATCCATGCTGTGTCACCTCCATGGGGAAATGCTTCTTCCCTAGTGTGTCAGGCTAGGACATCCCTTCTAGCCACAAATCCTTACTCAGCTACCTCAGGCTGGAATGGGAGCCTAAGCCGAATCCTGGGCTCCTTGCCCACGGCCAACTCCAGCTCCCACGGCCTCCCTGGCTCTGTCAGAACACAAGGTCTGGGAAAAGTGAGGGGTGGAGTACAATAAAAGGAATGAGGACGAATTTCTGCCGTCTTTGCCTTCTTTCCAGACCGCTCTGAAATTCAGTGTGCCCATCTGTGGGATGCAAGGCTGTGCTGAGCAATCATGGAAGCCCCTGTGGGTCTGCCAGTGGGTAGTGGTGAGCTGACTCCCATGTCCTGAGCCTAACAGGGTCAGCTCACATCTGTCCATGGGCCACTATCCTGGCACAGCCCCAAACCCTGCAACTCTTCCTAACCCACCACAAGCTCCTCCCACGGCTTCTGTGAAAGGCCTAGCACTGGGATAAGTAGAAAACCCCAGGAGTGGCCTCATGAAATGGGGGATGAAGAAGGGGATGGCTACCTAGGGAACCCCAAAGAGGGAGGGAAGGCCTTGACTGTAAACAAAGTGGAAGGATCCCCAGGGGCCCTGCTGTGGACCCTCCAGGTCCTGACTCACAGCCAGGTAGAGTCTCAAAGCATCCACACCATCTTGCTGGGTCTAGCCTTCTACAGCCCAGAGATCTCCTGCTATCCAATATGGGACTTCCTGCAATGATGGACACATTCTACCATAGTGAGTCCACTATGGTAGCCACTGGCCCCAGATGGTCACTGAACACCTAAAATGTGGCCAGTGCAACCCTGGGGGCAGTCTTTACTTTGTTATTATTTTTTCTTGTGATACTGGGGATTAAATCCAGGAGTGCTCTACCACTGAGCTCCATCCCCAGCCCTTTTAAGATATTTTTAAAATTTTTGAGATAGGGTCTCACTGAGTTGTTGAGGCTGGCCTCAAATTTTCATCCTCCTTCTCAGTCTCCTGAGTTGCTAAGATTATAGGCCAATGCCACCTCATCTGGCTATTTTTATTTCACCTAAATAACCACACATGGCTAGTGGCTACCAATTTGGACAGCCCCTCCCCTCTCCCTTGGACCCTTGGCCTTCTGCCCTCTTCCCCAGTCAAGAACCATGACGCAGATCTTACAGGACTGGAACTCCTTCTTCCACCCTCCCTTTCTTCTCCTCCCTATCTGCTTTTGTACCTCCTGCTCCCTTCCCTCCTGAATGAGCAGAAAAGGGCTCCTCCTCTGCATCCAGCCTTCTACCAGCCCAGAGATCTCCTGGCAAAAGCCGCCTCCTCCCTATACCATCTCTGGATTTGTTCCCCTCTTCTCCCTCCTCCAGGCCCTCACTCCCTGCAGATCTGCCCACTCTCCCTTTACTACCACCTTCTCAGAAAGACTAGATGGCACTTCCCTCTGCAATTGGCCTCCACCCCCACCACTTCTCGATGCCCTTGCCAAGGTTACTAGCAGCATCCTTGTTGCCAAATCCAAGCAGACACTTGGCCTGTCGGCATCTGATGCTATGGCCCAAGTCCTCTTTGTCTAAAGATTCCCTCCACAGCTCCTTGGATCCACCCTGTCCTGATTTCCCAAGCAGCCTGATGTTCAGGGCTTCAAATGCAGCTCTGCCAGAGCTCACTAGGTGTCCTTGGGCCAGTTGCTTAACTCTCCAAGTCTCTTCTGTGATTCAGGGATAATAATAGCCTCTGCTAGGGTAGGGGTAAGAGAGACTCTGTGCTAGGCACAGAGCAGGTTCCTGGCTCTGTATCACAGAGCCTGGCATACAGTAGTGCTCTTTCCCTCGATTTATCCACCCATTGGATACTGGAGCCAGTAAGTTGTCCCTGGATATATATTTTCCTTACGGTGATACAAATCTGGATTTTTGGTTGGGCATGTGGCCACCATTAGTAGGTGGCATTCATGTAAGTTGCATTTCCGGTTCGGTCTCTTTGCAACTGGGTCTGGTCATGTGATTAAGTTCAAAGTAATGAGGTAGATGGGGAAGTGTCATATGACAACTTCTGGGAAATTTCCTTCAAAGAGAATTGGTGCAGAACCTTTCCGTTCTTCGTCCTTTCTTCCATCTCACTACCTGGAATATGTATGTGATAGCTGGAGCCCTATTCTGAGCCATGAGGACAAAAGCCACTCTTAGAGATTGCGGAGCAGTGAGTGGAGAAAGCCACACCTGGGAGGGCTTTGTGGAAGTGAGCTGCCTTATCAGCCCGGGCCTGTCTTCTCTGAGGCTTATGTGTTTGGATTTGTTACTTAGGTCAGAATTCTGATTCTACCTAGTACAGAATTCTTTCCCCCTTAAAAGCAAGTGATTTGTCCTTCGTGCTTGATTTATTTGTGCTTGTGATATTTTTCCCATGGCTCTATTAACAATTTCGGGTCCTTTCTGAGGACTCTCAAACCTGTCTCTTTGAGGGACCAGAGGTATAGCTCAGTGGTAGTTTGCCTAGCACAAGTGAGATCCTAGGTTTGATCATCCCCAGCATCCATAAAAAAAAAAAAAAAAAAAAAAAAACAACCCCAAAAGGTGTCTCTTTGGCTCAGTCCTCTTTCCTGAACTTGTGCCCCATATTTCCATTCCCTAATTGCCGTATCCAATTAGTTGCTCATTCATCAAACATCTATTGAGCACCCTTGAGTGTTTCAAATTGTGCTGAATTTATTAGGCACAACCCATTCCCTCAAGAAGCTCCCGGTTCAGATAGGCAACAAGCAGGCAAACAGGAGGGTACAATAAAGTTCCTAAGAAGGGATGCTAACCAAGCTGGGCAGTGAAGAGGTCATGGGGAAGGTGTCCTGTCAGAAGGGGCATTGAACTGAGCTCAGAAAGAGCTTAAGCAAGCAGCTGGTTAGGAGTGTGGTTATAGAGGGCTTGACTGGAACTATTCTCAGGGTAATGGCCAGCTATGGAAGATTCCTCAGGTGGAGCTGACTGGTTAAACTTGTACTTCAGAATGACTGTTCTGCTGCCAGGTGAAGAAAGGCAAGTGGGGACTGAGTCTGGATGGTGGTGGGAAACCAGCAAGGTTGATGCTGCAGTAATCAGGTGGAAGACAGTGGTAGTGGCCTGAGCCAAGGGAGGGGAAGAAGGGTGGAGAGAAATGGGCAGATTCCAGGGATTATACATTTAAGATTCCAAGCTGATGCTATACTGGTTGGGTCAGGAAACAAGCTGTAAGTGACTGGCAGGTTCCTGGCTCCAGTTTGAGACAGGGAAACAAGAAGCCAGGTTTGGGGTAATGATATGGAGTTCTGAAGCAAGTAGTGCTGTGGGGATTCACTAGTGACAAACTTAGCAGCACTGAACCAAGAGTTGGTGAGCTCCCCGGGGAAGAGGTGAGGGGTTGAGTCCCCAGGTATAACCATTGGAAAGGTCACCTGGTCCTGTTGGGTTCCCTTCATCTGGAAAAGGACTCTGCTGTCTGTTTACAGAGTCCTTTTCCAAACAAGAATCCCACTTGGACCCTAGCACTCTTTACTAAACTTCCTTCTGGCCTCCCTACCCACCTCCTGCCCATCTAGCAGAAGGCTAAACTCCTGAGGCTGCCATTCAAGGCCTTTCTTCCTCAGCTCAGGCCTTAGCCACCTCTCTGCTCGCCAATCTCGCCTTGCCCCTCCCTAGCACGCACCAGCCTCACCCCCAGAGGGAGGGGGCGCTCTTGCTCTTGCAGGCTAGGACTGGGGAGAGGGAACAAAGCGTTTTGGGGGAAGCACCCGTACCCTTCAGGCCCAGTTAACTGGTCATGACACGTCCTGAGGAATTTCGGGGAACCCGGGCGGCTTATATGTGGGCGCCGGGGGCGTGACGCGGTTTGGCCCCGCAACAGGGCCCCTCCCCAGCCACCACCCGCCGCGGCCCCTCCCCTTCGGAAGCGGGGCGAGAGTCTTGGACTCTGATTGGGCAGTGTTGGGGGGGGCAGTATAGCTCGACCAATGAGCGCCGACCGGGCGCGGCCGCAGGCGGGGGACCGAGCGCTGCCTGGAGCTGCGGCGCCGGCGGTCTGAGCTCCGCGATCCCGGCCCCGGCTAGGCGGGCGGGGCGGGACGCGCGCCGCGGGAGCGAGCCTGGCCGCCCGCCGGGCCTCAGAGACTGGTGCCCCACGGCGGAGGTAGGGGGCGGTGAGAAGGGTACCTGGAGCAGGCAACCGGAATTCGAATACCTGAACGATCGTCTGCTCCCAGCCTGCTGGGGAGAGGGGTGTCTGCAAGGCTGTGACTGTGAGGACAGCTGGGACCTTGCCCATTCAGGGATCCTTGCCCTCTCTCTGCGGAGCTGGGTCTACGGGGTGTCCCGTGGAGCCTGCTTCTATCTAAACCCGCAGCCAGGACCGCATCTAGGTGGGCCCCCTGCCATCCTCGTCCCTCCCCCAGCTCTTGTCTTTAGGACTGCGTCCGTAGCCCGCGCACTGTCTACTCTGCCCCGGTTCTTAGTGGAGGCCGTGTCTATGCCGAGTGGGCCCAGACGCGTGCACCCACGTGTGGATCTCCGCGGAGCGCTCCTCCCACGGCCCTCCCGTGAGTCTTCCTTCCACAGCTGGGGGCGGGGGTGATGAATGGGACGGATGCGGCTTTAGCTGCGCAGTCTTCCCCTGATCGGGGGCGGGGAGGCGAGTGGCGGAGGTTGGCGTTGTGGTTTCTGGGGCCGGGTGGGCACAGGAGTGGTGACTCCGAGGGAGCACACGTGCGCGGGAAGCCGTGTGTGGTGTTTGGAGGCGGGTATGCGTGTGTCACGTGGACACGGGAGTGTGCCTGTGTGTGAGGGGGATGCATTTCAGGATGGAGTGGCGTATGAGTACCAGTCACGCGGACATGGGCGTGCACGTCTTGAGGGTGTTGCAGGAGTGTGCCGAGAGGGTTATGTCACAGGCCACAGATCCTAGGACTGTGCCAAGATGGGTTTCCCCAGGACTGTGCATCTGTCAGGTGGACTCAGAAGTGTGGGAGAAGTATACATCTTATGTCCTTGAGGTTCTCCTGGGAAGAGGCACCTGTGTACCCCATAGCCCTGGGCTCCTTCATTCAGCACATACAGACTGAGCACTGTGTCCTAGGCCCCCCACATTTTGGGAACCTTCTGCCTGCTCAGTCTCTCATCCTTAGTCCCCACAGCAGCCAGAGTCATTTTAAACCTCATCCAACTGAGTCATTCCTCTCCTCAAAACCTTTCCTTG